ATCCAAATTTTAAAAGTAGAAATTATACGAAGCAAAGCCTCGAAGCAACAAAAATATTTGTTGACCCAAATATTTTTGATGTAAGTCTGGTGCTGGTAATGAATCTCGCAGGTGTAATAGCGCTATAATATCTTGTACACTTATAGAGCAAGCATGAAAATTCTCGAGTTGAATTTAAAATCTGAATTTTATAAATACAATTATTTTTATGGATTCAATCAAGTGCCTGAATGGGATTATTACACATTGAGTGAATTTTGAATTGTAGTTGTGATTGACTATAGACTCATTAAATGTGTGCACTGATTAAATGTATACTAGCTTAGTATTAACATGCACACTAAGTATGAGTAAGCCCACAAAGTATGAGTATGCCCACAAAGTATGAGCATGAACAAAAAGTATGAGTAATGAACACACAGGTACGAGTATGAACACAAAGTACGAGTACGAACACAAAGTATGAGTATGAACACAAAGTATGAGTATGAACACAAAGTATGAGTATGCAGACAAAGTATGAGTATGAACACAAAGTATGAGTATGAACACAAAGTATGAGTTTGAGCACAAAGTATGAATATGACCAAAGAATGGGTATGACCAAAATATGAGTGTGAACACAAAGTATGAGTATGAACACAAAGTATGAGTATGCAGACAAAGTATGAGTATGAACACAAAGTATGAGTATGAGCACAAAGTATGAGTATGAACACAAAGTATGAGTATGACCAAGGTATGAGTATGAGCACAAAGTATGAATATGACCAAGGTATGAGTATGAACACAAAGTATGAGCATGAACACAAAGTATGAGTAAGCATACAAAGTATGAGTATGCACACAAAGTATGAGTATGACCAAAGAATGAGTATGACCAAAATATGAGTATGAACACAAAGTATGAGTATGACCAAGGTATGAGTATGCCAACTAAGTATGAGTATGAACATGAAGTATGACATGCACTAGCATGTATATTTATACCTTCAAAAATACAAGTATGTCTCAAAGTCAAGCTCATTCTCATGAGGCTATTTATATATCCTGTACATATTTTTCCCCTTGCAACACTGGTACAGTTTGTTTTTTCTTAAACCAAAGTGCAGCTTGGTGCCGCAGCTAAGCACGACTAACGACTAGAAGTTGCGGGGTAGCACAGCAAATTTTGAAGAGTTGTACAGAGTGTAACAGGTTAATTTCAGCCAATAAGGCAGGCGGGAATTTCAGTCCATTTTCTTTCTCTCAGATTGCACAGTGAACCCTGCCTCATGGTTACTAATCATACTTTTTATCATACGCTACAGGAAGATAGTGTTTAAAAACCTGAAAAGTCAGTACATGTTAAAAAAAACAGATTTCATCTACTCTCTGGGAAGTGGTTTTCATTATTTGGTCTTGGATTACGCTACAGGAAGATGGTGTTTAAAAATCTGAAAAGTCAGTACATGCTGAAAAAACCGATTTCATCTAATCTCTGGGAAGTGGTTTTTATCAGGTGGTTTTGGAATGCATTTACCGCTAGAAACGTAGAAAGATTTTATAAATATCCAGCATCAGCAGCAATAATGTGACACTAAAAAGAGCTACATGTCTACATCGAAAAAAAATCCCCAAAAAAAGTCTCGCCGACATGCAGCTGACGATTATGGATTGGTTTCGGGTACATGAAATTCTAGGAAAACTAAAGAAAAATACTAGTGAATATAACTCCGAGGCATTTGTCATCTATACACGCGACATCGATAACACGGCCGCCAGGACTGGTAATTTGTTTGATTTCGCCGTCGATACTGGGACTTTGAGCTGTTTATTTTTTCTTTTATTATTCTAAGTTTAGGGAGTTGCTTCAATAACGCATTCCCTCAATAAAAAAAAATATATATAAATTTTTATTATGTATTTATTTGATTTCACCGACGATACTGTGACTGTAAACTGTTTTTTCTATTATTATTGTAATTTTATCGAGATGCTTCAATAACGCATCCCTCAATAAAAAATAAAAATATCGAAATTTTTCTCATGTAACAAAAAAATACGCAGAAATTAGATCGATTGATAACTCGGTTGTGGGTATGCATGTTCTGGCTCTTGAGCAATGAATTGAAGACAATTAAAATTTTAAATATACTCAGAATTACGCAGTTGATTACTCTTCTCTGTGATGCCACAATAATAAATATTATTTCATTTTGCATACGCAAAATTTGAAATTTTTTTAAAATTACACTACTTTCCCTCCACTAACTGATTATGAGTGACCAGCTAAAACCTTCTCTTTGGGCTCCGGAAGACCCCATTACTTTATTTACATTGTAATATAACTAAACATTATTAAGTACAATTTAACAGCTAAAATCGTCTTAATAAATAATACTAATTACCACCTTTATGACAAGCCGTTATTCTGGACATCAATTATTTTTAATTATGAATCAATTATTGTTATTATTATTGTTATTATTCTGGACATCAATTAATTCTGTTAAATGTGTTAGCAGCTAAAATCTCTTTTTATACACATAAGTTACAACTAGTTACATTTTATACACATAAGTTACAATTAGCTAGACCCTGCCGTGATTTTTTTCATTAGTAACCAATAATTCACCAGAAAAAAACTTATGAGGTGCAAAAGTTGTTCGATCCTGCTTATCGTCAATCAGTATGACAAGCCGAGCAAACAATGGATATTAAATCATACTAATATGAATACAAATCAAAATAATTATAATATGAATGCAATTGTATTAAATACATTTTTATAATGAATATAATTAATAGGAATACAAATCGTATTAAATCATATTAATTATTTTTTAATTATTCATAATAATATTCTATAAGCGCACGCTTATGAACCATCACCGCTCAGCATCAAAGTCAATTTTATTTACTTTATGAACACCTAATAAGCAAATAATAATAATTCTTTCGCTGGACATGAAGCTCTGAAGCTCCTAGATAGCAATACCTATAATGAAAAGAGACGTCTATAGTGCCAATTAATAGCTAGATTCTTATCGGAACTAATCAAAGTTGGGTTCACACTGGAATTGAACCCACAGGAACATGAACTGAAATGTGAAATTGGGCAGAAAAGGACTTCAACAATCAGCGTACACCTTTTTTATAATTTCGCTACACATGGAAAAGTTATATTTGACTCATGTCAAATCTCAAACGTTATTTGAATATTTATCATTCAATGTATTTAACACTTTAAACTTTTTTGTTGATTGAAGATTTTTCCAAACGATTAAACAGGATATTAGTTAATTGTATTAATAACGTAATGGTAGAATCAATTAATGAATTTACTAAATATTTACTGTATATAGTGTATAAACTTTTAAAAGTCCGCGGTTCATTTTTGATTATCACTGCTTTAATTAATATTTTATTTACCTTGAAAAACGCTCACTGACCATAACTATGTAAAATTCCATGAAAATAATAGTTCAATTGTTTCCTGTAATTTTTATTTTCTAGGGTATATACGTTTTGACGTGAGGTTCGTAGATGTACGGTAATTATTGCACGTGTGCAGTTCGGTGCGTAGGGCCACCATAACCATCAGCTAGATTATGGTACTTAAATCGCCGCTTGTCAAAAAAACATATAATATTGGTCAGAACTACGGTTGGTAAGGTTTGATTACCATATAGTAACGACAACGCTGTGTCGATTACGCTGGAAAGTTACCTCAGTTTTGTTAAGAAAATTGATCATTTATACTGGTTTCTATTTTGCTCTAAACTTATTTCAGTTACGTTTAGAAAGTTGATCGTTTATACTGGTTTCGATTTTGCTCGAGAGTTATTTCAGTTTCGTTTAGAAAATTGATCGTTTGAACTGGTTTCGATTTTGCTGGAAGGTTTTTCTCAGTTTCGTTTAGAAAATTGATCGTTTATACCTAAAGCCGGCGACATAAGTGTTGTGGTCACTTCGGTGGCATTGACGTTAGGATAGTAATAATTAATGAAGGTTGTGCTGGATTATTTAGAATTTCGATTTTATTTCACATAAGTAGCTAAATGGCAAACCATCAAATTTCATGGAAAATGAAACTAATTCGTGATAGTATAGAAGATTATTTTGATTATGATGAAGGTAGTTAGAATATAAAATCTGTATTTTGAGCTACCATAGGTCATTTAAAAGTTGAATCCTACAACGGGTAAGGCGGTTATTAACTACAGCGTGACCTGGGACTGCTACGTTCGAAACACTAAGGAGACTAAGCATAAGTTAGTTAGGAGCGGAAAGTTAGTTTTGAATATTTTGACGTATTTCTCCTCATTCTACAGCTGCTACTGGGCTGATGAGTATCCTTAGTGTTCAGTATTAATTTTCCAAATTATCTATGAATGCCAGTCACTATACGAACGAATATACCACGGATTTAATATCTTTAATGATTAAATATATATCGAATACTATGGATTTAATAATACCATGAATGTAATATCTTTAATTTCTGCAATAATTATTCATAGAAATCTGTGACTGGTGAGACTAATTTTTACGATGTTCGTCACTTAAGGATGAGTGTTTACGGTGATTGGCTGCTGTGTTTATGGTAATTGGCTGCTGTGTTTACAGTGATTGGCTGCTGTGTTTACAGTGATTGGCTGCTGTGTTTACAGTGATTGGCTGCTGTGTTTACAGTGATTGGCTGCTGTGTTTACGGTGATTGGCTGCTGTGTTTACGGTGATTTTGTTAACGATGATTGGCTGCTATGTTAACGATGATTGGCTGCTGTGTTAACGATGATTGGCTGCTATGTTAACGATGATTACTGACAGGAACATTCAAGTATAGCGTATCTTTGGTAATAAAGACGTAATTTCTGACCTTAACTAAACTGCGTGTAGCCAAAGTATCTAACTTTTTGCGAAAGGTGTTTTCAATTAAAATTTTCACTAAAGTGATATTCCTCTCCTTCAGAATTGTTTGCTAGGATGTTTACCACGTCGTGAGGAATTTCAAAGAAATTTTTCTTGCTTTAATTCCATGTTAATTCCTTATTAATTCCATGTTAATTCCTTATTAATTCCTTGTCAATAATGGGAACGATTCCTGTATTCCTGTTAAGTTTCCTCGCTGCTACGGTGGCAGGAATACCAATGCCTGTAAGTATCAGTCAATTTCGTATGTATTAATTTTCCTGAAGAAATTTAAAAGCAAATAAAACGCCAAGCAAATTCACCATATCGATATTTAAAACGTTTTGGAGTCCAGCTCCATCATCAGTTCGAAAATATTAAAATTAGAACAATCATTTCATAAATCAAAATTCTAAGATGGACCTTAAAACCTAATAAGACCTTTAACACGAAACAACCTTAAATCGTTTTATGTTCTAGGTCTTTTTAGGTTTTAATATCTGACATAGAATTTTGAATTATTAAATCATTGTTTTCATTTTTAGATTGTTTCGATATAGTGAATTTGTTCAATATCGATATGGTGAATTTTTTTATCTTCTTTTAAATTCCTTATGAACTTGCGATATAAGCAGACTGATAATATAAGTACTTAAGTTTCGTGTTATTATATTGCACTTATATCCATATCTATTCTACGTAAATATAGACTTATGTTTATGGTATATAGGTATATACAAGCAATAAAATTGTATAGATATGGTATATTTATATTCGTAAGCATAGCTTTCCTTTGCACATGAATATTTAATGCAAATTTGATTAAAGACCAGTGAGTGAAATGTATATCAGTTATACGAACATTTTGTAATAGTGTTCAATGATAGAGACAAATTTTAATTCCATTTTATAATGAAAACTTATGTGTGAGTCAAATTATCTATCACTAAAAACCTCCCTACGAATTATCTTTATAATTATGTTCAATCATGGAAACAATTTTAATTCCATTTATAATGAAAACTAAACAGTGTGATTAAAATTATTTATCACAAATGCGACCAATCACAGGACGGGGAGAGCCTCGCCACCGACCAATCAAATCCGCAGATAAATCGCACGGTCGCCGACGTTGTGGATATACGTCGCAAGCTGCAGAGTTCGGCAGCAAATCTAATCTCTAAATCTCTAGTGCATGATTTATCAACGTTTAAATCTGGTAGGTGGTTAATCAGCAAAAAGATTACCTATTTCTTAACGTGGATATCCACGTTAAGAAAAAGGTAATTCAAAATCATTCAAAATTCAATAAAAAAAGTGCCTACCTATTTCTTGAAGTGGAAACGAAATTCAAATTTGAAAAAATATAACCTTTTTTCATAACGTGAATACGAAATTCAATTTTGAAAAAAATTACTTTTTCTTAACATGGATACAAAATTCAATTTGAAAAAAGATTACCTCTTTTTTAAAGTGGATACGATATTCAATTTTGAATACAAATATTCAGTGTTTTATGTAGATATATGAATGAAAATATTATCGATTCAAGATTAACAAATTTACATATTTTTTCATATCTATTGCGAATATTTTATTCCACTGGTGGTCACTTCTTCTAAATATATATTAACATTAGTTATCTTGAACTCCAATGTTCATGATAAATCAATATAAAATTGAATACGATATTTGCTTAACTAATTCTTTTAATTTATTACTCACAACTATATTTCCTAAAATATGGTATTTTTATGCGCCAGTCTTTTTCAGTATTTGTATGATTTTATATATAAAATATAAAGTAAAAATGACTTGAGCAATCTACTTTTAAATGACTTTTTTAACGGTATTACTTTTTCAATTCTTTGAGGTCCGGAAGGGCTCTCAGTCTCTATCAAATCCAGCGCTGCATCCAGCGTCCAGCTCATTCTGGATGACAGCGTGGTCCAGCACAGTCAGCTGGATGATGTCAGCGTATTTCAGCGCGTGCGTCACGCTAATGAAGCTCTTGCTATAATTGCAACTCCCACGTGAGTGAAAGTAGAAAATGTAAATTCAACTTTAACACAAACCTTGATATGTATTCTAATGTATTTCTTAATTTTGCTAATTCAACTTTAACAAAAAAACCTTGATAATGAATTCTAATTTTAAAGAGTTAATTACACAACGAAAGTATGTTTTAATATTTTCGTTCATTTTGCAAGTGAATATTTCACAAGTTTTCTCGTGTTGTGGTTGATTGGACAATTTTCAAACCTAATCACTTTCCCTTTTTTTAATTTATTGTTGGAAATTATTTGGAAGTTTTGTTAAACGATTCATTTTGTTTTTATTTCATTATTTTTACCTGATTAATTCTATTGAAGTTCCGTTAATCAAATTTTCAAGTATATAAATATGCCACCGTTCTAACTTAATTTTACAATTCTTTTTTAAACGGTAATGATTTCAATTATTTATAAACTCATAGTTGTTTTTCGTAGGTTATTTTTCAAACTGTAATGATTTTAATTAATTACAAACAATAATTGTTTTTCGGATGTTATTTAATTTTCATCTGCACGGACATGGCTGACAGGTCTGACGTGTGGCTGACACGGCTGAACGTGTCAGCTACTGCAGCGAGTGTGACGCTGACGTCGCTAGCGTCGCTGCGGCCAGCGTCAGCGAACGTCACCAGCGTCAGCGTGAGGAAAATAAATAAAATAAAATTAATAATAATAATACTTTTTTAATATAAATAGTAATTTTTTACCAAATATGCTAATTTTATAATAACAATACTAATTTTTAATAATAATAATAATTTTAAAAATAATACTAATTTTTTAATATAAATAGTAATTTTTTATAAATAATAATTTTTTATGATAGTAAAGATATATGGTACGTAAAGGTAATATACTTGGCAAATTATCGAATGAAAATGTGAATGTAATTAATTTAAACTAATATTAAATTTCACCTCGAGCCCTTGTAACTGCTGAAATTAGTAACCAACAAAAGTTTATCTAGTAACTGCTGAAATTAGTAACCAACAAAAGTTTATCTAGTAACTGCTGAAATTAGTAACCAACAAAAGTTTATCCATTTTCCTGCTAGTACGGCAACTGTTTACGTAATATTCCTGATCAATATTTTCATGAAGAATAATGTAATAGGTGCATTTATTGACAAATTGGTATACTAAGTGGATTTATTGACAAATTGGTAAAATAGGTGCATTTATTGATGAATTGGTAAAATAGGAGCATTTATTGACATATTGGTAAAATAGGTGCATATATTGATAAATTGGTAAAATAGGTGCATTTATTAACAAATTCATAAAATAGGTGCATTTATGGACAATTAGTAAAACAGGTTCATTTATTGATAAATCGCTAAAAAACAAGATCGAAAAAGTATAGCTAAAATACGTACATATGTTCATCCACTATTAATTTCTGTAAAAAGCCAAATTTTTCTGCAATAATTTTTCATTACGTGTATAGGTGGTAGACTAAAATGAATATATTTGAGTACTACAAAAAGGCCTGGTCCAGTAAGATCAAATTCCATCACAATTACAATTGCCACAGAACTCAAGGCTACGCAATTCCCTGTGATCAATACAGTGTTTCTGCGAAGTTCCCAACATGTGATCAAATGGTCTGAAAAAAAAATCTTCCCAAAAAATGTCGTCTCCAACTTGTTCATGGGGCTTGCATAGTCATTACTGTAATATGCGGGTTTATTCAAAGGTTTTTTATCATATTTATTTTATTGCGAACGTTTTTATTTTTATTAATATTAATTTATTATTCAGGTGCATTTCAAGTATAAACGTTGGTCATCGTTTTTTAGAGTAACATTTTTGAAATGTTCATTTAAGGCTATTCCTGTTTATATTTTCGATCCCAACTCTAATTGTAATTTCTTTTTAAATTTTATTATTTAGGTTATTCTTCCTATCTTTTGAGCGACAAATTCATAACAATGAATTCGGTACCCCTTATTGTATAATAATGAGTAACAAATTCATAAAATTTAAATTCTGAGAACATGAAGTGCCACTGCTCCAAGATAACTTTTGCCATGAAGTTTTGAGATTTTTTGCTGAGAAATTCATTTTTTATTAGTAACGAACAAAAAATACAATTTCAACTTTTCAGACCCGACTTGCTTTTAATTTGACAAGTGGAATATTTTTTTTAATTTGAGCTTTTTTGATATTTTTATTTATTTACTGAGCGCTTAATATTGAAATATTGCTATACATTCTGCGTGGGCAAGCCAAAATTTTGTTTACGGAGCTTTTGTAAGAATTTAGATCTTGAATGCACGCATCATATGCATTCAGTATCATGGTCGCTATCTTAACCATATTAAATCGAAATGTAATTGAAATATAATATTATAATAAAATTCATAAAATAAAAATATTGCAATATAATTGATATAATTTCAGAATCCAATGACTATATAAACTATATTTGATATTCTAAACATATTTCAATATTATTATCACTTATCAGACTGGGCTCGTGGTGGGTAGTGTGCTATTCTACAGCACCGCTTCACCCGCCCCGGGGGGCTACCGTGTCCAGCTTGACGCCCTCAACCTCGCCGACATGAGGAACTTGAACATTAAAAATTGGTTAGGTCATGGGTCCAACATTTCTTTTAAATATAAATATTGGTCTGGTCACGGGTCAAGCTATTTATTTAAATATAAACTTAGAATTACCGATCGGATATATCATAAAATAAAAATTAAATTTGAAATTAAATTTTGAATTTAAAATTTGCACAATTTTAATTAACTACGTGTTGATGAATTCATACTACTTGATCATAATGTGTATTTGTAGTATTATTCATAAAATTCATGATTAAGGTAGCATCTCATTCTTACTACTTGGTCATACTATGCATTTTTAATATCATTCATAAACTTCATGTATGACGTATCATTAATACTGCTTGGTCATAATATGTAATTGTAGTATCATTCATAACTTCATGTATGACGTATCATTCTTATTACTTGATGATATTATTTATTTGTAGTATCATTCATAAACTTCATGTATGACGTATCATTCATACTACTTGGTCATGCTATGAATTTTTAATATCATTCATAAACTGCATGTATGACGTATCATTCTTACTTCTTGGTCTTATTATGTATTCAGTATCATTCATAATCTTTATGTATGACGTATCATTCACACCACTTGGTCATATCATGTATTTTTAGTATCATTCATAAACTTCGTGTATTCCGTATCATTCATCCTACTAGGTCATATTGTATATTTTTAGGATCATTCATACACTTTATGTATGATGTATCATTCATACTACTTGGTCACATTATGTATTTTTAATATCATTCGTACTACTTGGTCATATTATGTATTTTTAGTATCATTCAAAAAATTCATGTATGATGTATCATTCATAAGCTTCGTGTATGACGTATCATTCATCCAACATGATCATTTTATGTATCTTTAATATCATTCATAAATTCCAGGGTTGACATATCATCAGGGAGGCCGCTGATGCATTTCTTCACCGTGGCCGGTCGTGTGTACTTCGTACTTGAGGACAAGTGAGTGAATATTTAACCTAGTATAATTATTATTCATTCATATTAACAATAACGAATGAGGTTAATTAATTTAATTAACTTCTAATTCAATTTCAGCGGATAATTGAACGATTTCATAATATGTGCTTTCCAGCCATGCACAGAAAGTGGTAACAGAATGAATCTGAAATCGTCAATTCCAATAAAGGATATAGTAAATTAAGTAGTTAGTTATCTACTTGATGAAACGGTTATCTCCTTATTTACTTATCTTACTAATTACGCAATTATCTTCTGCTTTTCAGTTCAGTAATTACGCGGTTATCTTCTCTTTTCATTTATCTAGAGGACTAAACAGTTATCTTTTTGAGATTAATAGTAAAATTTTCTTACAATATATTCCCAAATGCTTCTATAATAAAGAATATCTGTTGGTAAAAGCGAATTATAAGACGGAATTGAATAGTTATTTCTAACCCATATTAAAATATAACTAAAAATTAGAATATTTATTGGTGAGAGCGAATTTCAATTTGTGAAATTAAATATATATTTCTAACTCGTTTAAATATAACTTACAATGCAACCACCAACAGGTTGTACGTTTATAAGGACGGTTTATTCGACCGCCTTAACCATGAAATGCTGGACACTCGCTACGCAACCAGCATAACTGGCTTCAACCAGGACAATGAGTAGTACATAGTTGTGGGCATGGACCAGGGGGTGAGTACTGCATAGTTGTGGATATCAAATGGCTTTTGAATTACTTGTAGTCGAATAGAGCAATTATTTCTCAAACGGTATATTAATACGCATTAGAGATTTTGCTACATGTCAATATCTATCCCAATGGGCTGGCGATGTAAATTTAATTTTCAGAAAATAATAATATTGGTTTAAATCCAATAAAAATAATTTTGTACTCTAAAATTTCAGGTGGAATCTCCGGTGTACGTTTTTGACCCTCTAACGTCAACGTTACATCTAATACAAAAACTTGCGACAACGCAAGTCACGGATGTGGATCATTTCTATAATAGTTTCACTAAAAAACATTTCTTACTTCTGCTCCAAGATCAACAGCCTGCCAAGATTTACTGGTTCGATAACGACCAGCTACTGGAATGGCGTGATTTCCACCCCAATTTATATGGAAAATCTTCCTCATTCGCCGCATTTGGAAGCGAGAACGTTTTAGCCGTCAGTAATGGCTCTGAAATTCTCTTCTATGTGGATAATCGAGCCGGAAATTTGAATGTGAACCATAGATACAGAACGGAATGTCGACCAGAATTGGAAGACGGAGGGTTGTCGAAGTTGATACCTCGCGAGACTTCGTTCACATCAGAACCACGCGTTGAAGGAGTGCTTCTTTTTACGAATGACTTGCATGAAAATACATCCATTATGGCCTACCAATGTGTTAATAACGGTAAATCTGCATTGAAGTTCGGTATTTTGGAAGCCAGCTTGCTGCCTACGAAAAGTTCCGAAAATGATCACGACGAACTACTTGAAGCCATGACTGCTCTCGAAGATATGATGAACACCCAAGAACCAATAATTGATGAACTCTCTCGTATCCTCGCCTCTGATGTCATTATGTCGAGCGACAGAGACCAAATTTGGGCAGGTCCAATCAAGTTTAGAGACTCATTTGATGTAGAAAATATTTTGATTGTCCAAAATTTGAACTTGAATTTGTTTTCTGGAGCAAAAGATGGTAATAATGCATACGACTCTCTGGATAGGAGGATTAATGTCGTACGTGATGAAGCTACCAAACTGCAAACGGTTGCAAATAATCTCCTCTACAAAAATGGTGATCAAGTTATCAATGCAAAGGTTTCCCTAAACTCGATAGTCACTGAAGATATCCGCTTCGAAGAAGAACCGAAACCATTTGAATTCAACGGCAAACCCATTGAAAATTATGATACACTGTACCTCCGTAAAATGATGAATCAAACTATTTCTACACCTCTAGAGCTTGTATCGTTGGATGTCGACGAAATAAAGTTACGATCTGATAATAATGAAACACTTAATCATAAAGGTAACATCAACGGGATGCAAACTGACGATTTCCTCAGAGTTTCAGCCTCTAATCAAGTAGTAACTGGCAAGCATGTAATCAGAAACGCATTTTCTAGAGGAAATGTTGAGCCAATTTCTTCAGTGCAGAGTTCACTTGCAATTAACTCCGTTCCAACAACTGAATTCGTCAATCAGCTAACCTCAGACGTCGATTTTTCCGGGACTAAGTTATTTCAAAACGATCTTTATTTGGACAAGTTGAATGTAACCGCCGTCAATGGACATAACTTCGAAAACTGGATTAAATCTCTTCTCAGAACTGATGTATCTGATACTCAAGTGATATCAGGGAAGGTAGTAATTAATGGTAATTTGATTGTTGCCGACACCATTTCTAGTGCATCTGTTAATGGCTTAGATCTGACTAATTTCGAAAATAATGTTGTGAACCTGCAAGGTTGGCCACAAACCATAGAATCGCCTGTTATTTTCAATAGTGACCTCCTTGTTAATGGTGACTTGAACGTCTCCACGATCAACAACATCAAATGGTCTGAAGTTATCGATAGTTCCTCTCTACAAGACATTCGTGCCAAGGTTATTATATCAGAAGCAAGTGTCGCTGGGAACTTGTACTCCGATGACGTAAACGGAATCGACTTAGACCGCGAAGCTGTTCTCAATTCTGTCGATCAGACCCTGAATGGTAGAATGAGATTCTTGCAAGATTTGACGGTAAATAGTGCAGAAGGTGTCACCATGGATGGTAGGAGTAGAATTAATCGAGTAAATCCATCTCAGTTGAGCACACTTCTCGGAAATACTGGACAGATTCTGATAAAGCAGCCCTTCAGCTACGACGAACCTTTAGAGCTTAACTGTTCGATCTCCGCAACCACTCTAAACGGCGTGGAAGTGGATCTGTTGCGTTCCGAATTTTGGAGGAAAAACTTAGAGCAAAGGATACCAGTGAGTGTATCCGTTGGTAGATTATCCATAAATGGATCAGCTACCACAGAAAAGTTCAATGGTCTTCCAGTGCATCAATATCTCTTGCAAGGCCTGGATCAAACAATTGAAAGTCGTTTCAATTTTCAAAGTTTACTACGCATTCAAGGTGATATCTCGTTTAACTCGGATCCCATAATCAATGGCGTTAATCTTAAGGACTTGAAAGAGTCTGTCATTTCACTGGATTTTGATCAAGTAATTTCCGGGGAACAAAATTTTTCAGGTGGGCTTGATACTGATCAGTTTTTACTGACCTCCGCTCAAATCAACAATGTGTCTCTCGATGACCTGGTTAGACTGGATACCCCAAATTCAGTGACTGGTCATTACTATTTCGCCGGGCCCGTTTCAAGTGAAATTTTGCTAGCTTCCGAAGATATCCAAGTGCAGAAACTCAATGATTTGGACTTTGATGCGGAAATTAATGATATGGTAAAAGTCGACGAGGATAACGTTATAAAAGGTGAACTTCTGATATTGAATCCTTCTCAAGTTCGTCATTTAAGAGCTAGAGGCAAAGTGGACGGAATAAATGTACAAGAATTGGATAAGAAAACCTTGAAAAAAGTTTCTACTTCTCCTCAACGGATAACTGGACGGATAACAATCGAAAAAAACCTTGAGTTGATGGGCAACACTTCTGTTATCTTCCTTAACGACGAAATTTTTTCCTCTCTGACTACCGATGTAGTAACGAAAAATTTCAATGGAAGCATCCGTGGAAACAAACAATTTTTGAACTCGGTCTACGTTTTGGATTATGCAAATATGAAAACTTTCAACGGCCGCAATGTGGATGACACATTTCAGAACATTTTTTCTACCACATCCAACCAGAGCATAGTGGGAGATTACACCTTTTCCGAAATTGAAGCCAGATCAGTCATAGCGCCTATTATTAACCAGATGAACATGGATAGTCTGGTACTAGTTGACCAAACTACTAGTACCATCAAGACTGTACAGTTCACAAACCATATCATAGTCATAGACATGGTATCTCCCACCCGTGAGATAGAAGGTTGCGATCTGAATCGACTGAAATCTTTTAGAAATTGGCGTGATGTGGAATTCAGGAACATTTCAGATCCACTTACAATTAAAAACTTAATTGTTAAAGGAGATGCGAGAACGTTATCAAGAGACCTGCAAATTTATAATACTGGAAATGAACCCACCAATTTCATCAAATACATGGACTCGTTCGTATCCAAGTCCCGTACCCAGGTTATGACGGGAAAAATGTCATTCACTGGCCGGAATTTCATAAAATCTTTGAATGTGTCCCACATAAACAACATCAACATGGATGAATGCCAACACAATTCATTGAGGAAGTCTGATAATCGCATTGAATGTCCATTGCGTTTTAAGAATCCGATTCTAGTTAAAAACTTGATAGTTAATGGAAACCTATCTAATCCTACGTTAGGTGTCAATGTTGGTGACGTTCTTTTCAAGGCATTAGCACAAAACGGTGTCAGAAAAAGTCGGCTCAATTCTACCATCATATCCGGGAAAAAAACTTACGTCAGAGGATTGAATGTTCAGAAAAACTTGCAGTTTGTTCACATGAATGGAATTGATAGTAAGGATTATATACGCTTAACTGATGCATTCATACCGACATTCATCGAATTCAGGGCGCCTATCGTCATCGCTGGGAACCTTACCGTGAGTGACGAACTTTAATAATATTATTTTAATTATATTAATTTTATATAAAAGTTTTAATTAAATGATTTGATTCAAATTATCAGACAGAATTATTTATAAGAAATTTTAACCAGTATTGTGAGGTATTATTTATAAATACTTCTGCATTATTATTCTGCCTTGCAATTCTAACTCAAGTGGTTAATTAGATAGATTAACTTAGATTAGATTAACTAATTAGTTAGATTGCCTTGCAGTCTAACTAATATTTGATATCCCCAATAATTTAAATCTCCTGATAAATTTCGCCCATAAACGCCATCGGCTCGACTGGCCTAGAATTTCTCTCTTTTCTATATTAGTAGAAAGCTAATTAATTTTTATTCTCGTAAAATTTAATTACTACTAATCTACCACAATTATTTCACTGACAGGTGACAGGCACCATTTCCGGGGTAGATGTAGATGAAGTTCTACGCGATATCGTCGATGTAGAAAACCCTATTCTACCCACCACGTCCATAACTTTCGATGACTTACGTATACAAGGTTGGTCCGTATAACATCTTTAGTTTAGAAATTTTTAGCATAACATTTTTTAAATTATTTTCTGATTTTTTACTATAATTTTTAACATTTTTAAAATAAGGTTGTTCTAATAATTTCAGTGCTTGAATTTTTCTATTCTGGTTTTAACTTGTATGTTTTTTTAATTTAAAGATTTAATTCAATTATTTTTTTCAAGTTTAAGAGTGGATAACTTTTTTCCTGCGTCCATGTTATTAGAAACTTTTATTTTACATCAGAGATACGACGTGCATTTGATAGACCTCGTGAACCACTTGACCGTTAGTGAACCACTTGACCGTTAGTGAACCACTTGACCGTTAGTGAACCACTTGACCGTTNCCACTTGATAGACCGCGTTAGTGAACCACTTGATAGACCGCGTTAGTGAACCACTTGATAGACCGCGTTAGTGAACTACTTGATAGACCGCGTTAGTGAACCACTTGATAGACCGCGTTAGTGAACCACTTGATAGACCGCGTTCGTGAACCACTTGGTAGACCGCGTTAGTGAACCACTTGATAGACCGCGTTAGTGAACCACTTGATTGACCGCGTTAGCGAACCACTTAATAGACCGCGTTTGTGAACCACTTGATAGACCGCGTTCGTGAACCACTTGATAGACCGCGTTAGTGAACCACTTGATCGACCTCGTGCCCCACTTGATCGACCTCGTGCCCCACTTGATCGACCTCGTGCCCCACTTGATCGACCTCGTGCCCCACTCACTTGATCGACCTCGTTCCCCACATGATCGACCTCATGCCCCACTCGATCGACTTCGTTCCCCACATGATCGACCTCGTGCCTCACTTGATCGACCAACAGGAGATCTACTCACGGCCAAGATCAACGACGTGATCTTAGAAGATCTGCTGCTGTCACACAGTCGGGACCCGCAGATCATCACCGGCCAGATCTCGATCACTGGCAGCCTGTTGATCGAGGGTTCGGTCGGGGTCCGATCGACTCTTAATGGCCACGACCCCAGCCAGCTGCTGGGGTCCGTTCTCACCACCACCAGCGACCATGTTGTAGAGGATAGTGTCGTAAGTACAGGATAGGGTCTTAAGTACAGGATAGGGTCGTAAGTAAAGGATAGGGTCGTAGGTACAGGATAGGGTCGTAAGTTGTACAGGATAGTGTCGTAAGTACAGGATAGGGTCGTAAGTAAAGGATAGGGTCGTAAGTAAAGGATAGGGTCGTAAGTACAGGATAGGGTCGTAAGTACAGGATAGGGTCGTAAGTACAGCATAGGGTCGCAAGTTGTGCAGAATAGGGTCGTAAGTAACACCGGGTTATAAAGATGGCCTTAGATTTTGCTTAGTCGTAAGTGCTACCAAGTTTTAAGATATCCTAAAATCTACTTGGTTTCACCTCTGGCCAGTTTCACCTCTGGGCTGTTTCACCTCTGGTCAGTTTCACCTCTGGTCAGTTTCACCTCTGGTCAGTTTCACCTCTGGTCAGTTTCACCTCTGGTCAGTTTCACCTCTGTGCAGCTTCACCTCTGGGCAGTTTCACCTCTGGGCAGTTTCACCTCTGGGCAGTTTCACCTCTGGGCAGTTTCACCTCTGGGTAGTTTCACCTCGCGGCAGTTTCACCTCTGGGCAGTTTCACGTCGGGGCAGTTTCACCCCACTATACCCCCGTTTTGCAGGTTTTCAACAACACAGTTCAGGCTGCCGACGTCAGTTTCATGTCAGGACAGCTGGCAGAGCTGGATATTGACCAGCTTTCAGCTCAGATGGCTCAGCTGGACAGTCAGCTCAAGGCTGACATTCATCAGCTGAATAGCAGTCGATCTAAAGTCATCACTATGAATAATGAGTATCAAGATCGGGTCCAAAGTGAGTAAATTTCGTATATCTTTACAGTTATTCACTCATTTTGATGTGATTCATCGTACTTCATTCATCAGACTTGAAAATAGTGAATCGCGAATGAATGATTTATAATGTCATTCATTGTACTATGAGTGAATCATTGAATAATTGAATATCGCTATGAATATGAATCGTGAATATCGGAGTGAACTTGCAGATGGGCCTACACAGAAATTTATTTTGAATTTCGACTTTTTCAATATGTTTACATTCCTTGAATACATGCATATTTTCACATTTGTTTTGCTACTAAAATTTATTATATTAATTCCTATTATCCCTAACATCCAAATTCCCCTTTTTTTGCCCTGGTAAATTTGTTACAATTTTGTCCTAATTTTGGTTTTCAGATATGCATCGTCGGTTCGACTTTCTATCGACAGCCGGTGAATTTTCCAGCAAACACAAAATTTCCGGAATTTCTGCAATAAGATTTCCGAATTTCAGTCCACGGATATTTTTGCGCCACGATGAAGGCTGCGGCAACAGCAGCGTACTGATGGTATATCGCTTTTTTATTCACAAATAAAAATGCGCATTAAAATAATTGACGTAAAACCACAAGCATAGATTTGAAAATCCTAATTAATTTTAAAACTTGTTTTCGTGCTAAAACTTACAATCACGTATAAACTTGCAATTGAGATGGACCTTTCAATAATGTTGAAATTCTAATCGTGTTGAAACTTCTAATCGTGTTGAAACTTCTAATCCTGTTGAAACTTCTAATCGTGTTGAAACTTCTAATCGTGTTGAAACTTCTAATCGTTTTTAAACTTGTAATCATGTTGAAACTTTTAGTCGTGTTGAAACTTCTAATCGTGTTGAAACTTCTAATCATGTTGAGACTTCTAATCATGTTGAATCTTATAATCATATTGAAACTTCTAATCATGCTGTAACTTTTAATCACGTATAAACTTCTAATCATATTGAATCTTCTAATCATGTTGAAACTTATAATCATATTGAAACTTCTAATCATGCTGTAACTTTTAATCACGTATAAACTTCTAATCATATTGAATCTTCTAATCATGTTGAAACTTCTAATCATATTGAATCTTCTAATCATGTTGAAACTTCTAATCATATTGAATCTTCTAATCATGTTGAAACTTATAATCATATTGAAACTTCTAATCATGCTGTAACTTTTAATCACGTATAAACTTCTAATCACGTTTAAACTTCTAACCATGTTTACACTTCTAATCATGTTTAGGCTTGCAATCGCGTCGACATTTGCAATCATATTGAAACTTGTAATCACGTGTATACCATTTGTGATAATGATTGTACGGAACAATCTCTGATTGTGTGCAACAATCCAGGTGACTGCAGCTGGAGAGCTGGTATTGCAATCCAGCGCTGAGGGAGCGTTCACGGTGTTGCAATCTGACGCCTTCCCTACCGCTGCAATTTTCAACTCTAGGTACCGTTACCCCAAAAATCCTCATCTTTTACCCGAAAAACTCCCAATTTTTACCCCAAAACTCCATTTTACCCCAAAACTCTTTTTTACCCCAAAACTCTCTTATACCCCAAAACTCCCTTTTACCCCAATACTCCCTTTTACCCCAATACTCCCTTTTACCCCAAAACTCCCTTTTACCCCAAAACTCCCTTTTACCCCAAAACTCCCCCATTTCTACCCCAAAACTCTTTCCCTCTCGAAACTCCTCATCTATTTACTCCAAAAACTCTCCTTTTTACCCCAAAACTCTCTCTCACCTCAAAAGTCCTAGTATTTTTACCCCAAAACTCCCTTCTTACCCCAAAATTCTCCTTTTTTCAACCCAAAACTCCCGTTTTTTTCCTCCAAAAACTCCCATTTTACCACAAAGCTCCCTCTTAACCCCTAACGACCTTTTTCCTGACCATAACCCTTTGTAACGGTAACGATGATGAAGTTACCATTCCTAATCCTGATACCGTTCCTCAGGTGCAGTAACGATGACGACGTTACCGCGGTATCAGTGATACGTGACGTCACAGAAAGCGCTACTCCGGTTACCGTACCAAGTTCGTCATGGTCACGAAACTCTATAACACGCCTCATTTATCATGATGATAAATTTAATGAAAATGGTGATGAATTTAATGGAAATGATGATGAATTGAATGGAAATGAAGATGAATTGAATGGAAATGAAGATACCCTGAACGCAATTGAAGATAAATTGAACACCGATGAAGATAAACTGAACGCAAGTAACCGGCAGTTATTAGCAGTTGTTGTCACTTCTAAATCATCTCGTAAGTAAACAACTGTGCTCAAATATTCGTTATTTTCAATTAATGACGTGAATATTTTTTATTTATTTTAAACTTCATATGGGTGATTATATTGTAGTTTCGATTTTTATGTAATTTCCATGTAATATAGTTTCTTATTTTTGTTTTTCATCTCCTGTAATCTTCAAATTTGAATTATTAAATAACATGAAACAATTTTCCTGGTGAATAATATCAAATATTTATTTGGATCTTTCCGGTCATTATTTAAATATTTTATTTAAATTAGTTATTTTAAATTATTAAAAAGTTTCCGATAAATGATACGCTGTGAATATTTGTTAATGAAAATTCGGCACAAGCCAAATTTTAATTAGATATTATTTTTATTTCTGCTTAGAATTAATAACTACGTAGGCTAAATCCACGTTCTAGTTAGCGATCAACTTTTCTTTTTAACTTTTTTTCTGGCATAAGTCGTGACTATAATAATTAGTTGCATAAATTATTTTAAGCATATGTTAATTTATAATAATTTGTATTCTTAAAATTAATTAAATTCTTTTAAATTAAATCATCACATAATAATTTTTTAAGCATAAGTCGCGACGATAATGTTAAGTTGCATAATTTTTCAGGCTTATGTTAATTTATAATAATATCTGTTATTTAAATTAATTTATTTATTATCACAATAATTTTTAAAGCATAAGTCGTACTTTAATTAATTTATTATTTAATTTATTAATTTATTTAATTTATTTACAGAATCTAACAGTGAAATATTTACTTATTAAAATTTAATATTTTAAAAATGTTTAATTTATTATTTATTTAATTTATTTATTGCTTTACAGAATCGAACAGTGAAATCCATGTCCTGGATATTGGTGGGATAAAGGATCAAGTTACAAACAAGTTTATCCTCAAGCTAAACCACACCGTGTCAGACGTGTGCACAGCCAAGGTGATGATATCTGGTTATCTGTAATTACTTTTTCTTCACAATGATTACACCTGGTAATCTTTAATTACGTATTATTTTCAATGATTACCCATCTTGTTATCTATAATTAAGTGTTCTTCACAATGATTACCTATCAGGTTACCTTTAATTACGTATTGTTAGCAATGATTACCTATCTGGTTATCTTTAATTACGTATTATTACAATGATTACCTATCAGGTTATCTATAATTACGTATTCTTCTCAATGATTACCCATCTTGTTATCTATAATTAAGTGTTCTTCTCAATGATTACCTATCAGGTTATCTATAATGAAATATTCTTCACAATGATTACCTTTCAGGTTATCTATAATTACGATGTCAGCCTATCAGGTAATTATTTGTTGATTATCAGCCTGAACTAATGATTAATTAAAATTACGTTCCAACACTTTAAATTAAAGGAAATTAAAATAACGTTCACACAGAATTTTTAATGAATGAAAAACAATTTAAAATTAGCTTATTTAATGGGATAAGAATATATACAATTTCAAATAAATAGATTTAGTAACGTAAGACGAATAAATGTATTTCGATAATCCGTTATATTGTATTTGTATAATCCATTCCATAATCAATTTTAGTAGTCGGATACTTTGAACATTTTTCAAATTATTATTATTATTTTGTTAACATAAAAGTAATTTATTATTATTATTAAATTTGATTTATTAACAATGTCTGTCACTTATGTTAATTAATGTTAATTAAATAATTAATGTAATTAATTAATTAATACTTAATTAATGTAATTAATTAATTAATTAATCTAATTAATTAGGACATTAATTAATTAACCTAATTAATTACTGAGAGTAATTATTAATTACTCTCAGGTAAACGGTCAGTGGCAGGTAGTGACGCTGGCGCGAGAGACCGCACACCGCTACGCCTGGGACGACGCGAGCAGCACGGTGAGCTCGTTAATTTTTGTAAAATTAATTAATTAGAACACAATTAATTGTCTATGCCTATACTTATGCAGGGGCGTTAATTTGCATTATTTGTAAATTAATTAATTGGGAAACAATTAATTGTCTATGTATACAGCACGGTGAGCTCGTTAATTTCTGTAAAATTAATAATTAGGACACAATTAATTGTTTGTCTATACTTATGTGAGGGCGTTAATTTGCATTATTTTGTAGAATTAATTAATTAGGGCACAAATTAAACAAATTAAAATTTATTATTATTAGGATACAAATAATTGTCTGTCTACTTATGTAAGGACGTTAATTTGCATTGTTTTGTAAAATTAATTAATAAGGGACACAATTAAAATTTATTATCAACACACACATAATTAATTGTAAATGTTCATACTTGAAGTTTACTTTTACAAAGGAGAAGAATGATCAGCGCTGTGAGCTCGTTAATTTGCATTACTTTGCAAAATTAATTAATTAGGGCACAAATTAAACAAATTAAAATTTATTATTATTATTAGGATAAAAATAATTGTCTGTCTACTTATGTAAGGACATTAACTTGCATTATTTTGCAAAATTAATTAATTAGGGCACAAATTAAACAAATTAAAATTTATTATTATTATTAGGATAAAAATAATTGTCTGTCTACTTATGTAAGGACATTAACTTGCATTATTTTGCAAAATTAATTAATTAGGGCACATTAAAATTTATTATTAGGACAAAATTTACTGTACAAATCTAAACTTAAAGTTAACTATTATTAAGAAGAAGAAAGAAACGCGCTCTGAACTCTTTAATTTGCACTATTTTATAAAAATTGTAATTTATTATCATAGGAACCCAATAAATTGTATCTATACATAAAACTTCTGGGCTCACTTACACTATATGACAATTTAGACCTGCTTGAAATATTGTTGCCTTCATGTCTAAATTTCAGGCACACTTCGAAAATATATACCTACCAATTTTAATATCGATATCAAACAATTTTATGTATTTTTTTTATCAAAACGCAGTAAATAGTTTCGATGTCTGAACTTGAGGTTCATAATCAATGTGTATGAGAACTAAAAAAGGTTATCCATGTCAACACATTTGGTTGAGTTACATAACAAATTTGTGTTAGAATCGAGTTGATTTTATTAAGAGTTAAACTCTTATTAGTTTTTTATCTAATTAATTAAATAATTATTCATTAATTAATCATTAAATAATTGTTTAATTAATAATTATTAATCAGTCAATAATTAATTAATCATTACATAATTAATTAAGTAATTGACCATTAAAAAAATTAATCATTACATAATGTATTGTGTGATTTATTGGGTATTATTTAATCATTAAATAATTGATTAATTAATCATTAATTAGTCATTAAATAATTAATTACATAATTAAATAATTGAATCTTCAATGTATTATTTGAATACTTGATTCCTCCAATGCTTAATTACCCGATTAATTGAATGATAAATGATCAATCGATTGATGATTAATTGTAGCACCCAATTAATGATTTATAGGTCTACTAATTAGGTTCAGTATTATCATACCAAGTGCGGTGCCATCACATTTACATTTCATTATTTTTCTGTATTAAAATATTATTATAAGCATGTCGGAGAATAACTGTATTCCCGACATTAATGATTTATTTTGTCTGCTGATTATCATTAATTGAATAAAATTAACTAATAAAATTAACAAATAAAATTAACTAGTAAAATTAACTAGTGAAATTAATTAGTAAAATTATATAATCAAATTCAATAATTAAATGTAAAAATAAAATTAACAAGTAAAATTAACTAGCATAATTAATTAGTAAAATAACCTAATTTAATTAAGTAATAAAATTATTTAATAAAATTCTCCAATAGAATTTAATGATTAAACTTACTAATAAATTTAACCACTCATAGCTGGTGCTGCAAGAAACGTACGCAGCCCCTGGAGGCGGCACCAGCTGCGTGTTCATCACAGATGGTCCAGCTGGCACCTACTATCTTATCTTATCCGTCAACCATCGCAGGACTAGCAGAGATAACTTCAAGTCATCAGTACTTGTGAGCATCTTTATAATTATTTTTTATTTTATGCGTTGCATTTTATTTTTGCATTGCATTATAATTTTAATTAAATTGGTCATGATCTAAGTTATACACAATTTTAAATTACGTTTTCATTATATTAAAAGTTAAGCCATCATGGACAATGCGGTTTGAGGTTCAAAACCCATTTTAATACTCAATTTACCTGTGAATTTTTTCATTAACTTGAATTTTGTTCCATGAATTTAATTTAGTCAATAAACCAAAATTATTTGGCTAAAACTGCGATTTTTTTCTATGCCAGCCAAATTATTCATCAAAATCTACCGACTTTTTCGTGAATATCTCTTTATTTATCGTTAATTGCACCATATATTCCCGCAATAATATTATATTTTATTATTAATGCCACTATATTTTCCCGTTAATACCACCACATTTTTCTGTTAATACCACCATATTTTTGCGTTAATACCATCATATTTTTCCGTTAATACCACCATATTTTTGCGTTAATACCACCATATTTTTCCGTTAATACCACCATATGTTTGTGTTAATACCACCATATTTTTACGTTAATCCCACCATATTTTTGCGTTAATACCACCATATTTTTGCGTTAATACCATCATATTTTTCCGTTAATACCACCATATTTTTGCGTTAATACCATCATATTTTTCCGTTAATACCGCCATATTTTTGCGTTAATACCACCATATTTTTTCCGTTAATACCACCATATTTTTGCGTTAATACCACCACATTTCTTCGTTTATACCACCAAATATTTTCGTTATTAATAGCAATTCTTTCGTCAATACTCCCAAATATTTTCGTTAATGCCATCAAATATTCTCGTTATTTATAGAAATTCTTTCGTTAATAGTAGCAAATATTTTCATTTATACTACAAAATATTTTCGTTATTTATAACAATTCTTTCGTTAATACTATAATATGTTTTCGTTACTAATAGCAATTCGTTTGTTCAGATTTTACGGAACAAGGTGACCGGAAGCTCCGCCCTCTCGCCCTACCAGCGCCTGCTGGTTAGTGACGTCACAGCGATGACGTCATTCGCAGTTGGTGTTGACAACCACCTGGTGGTGGTGACGTCTGATGGTTACCTGCACGTCTACCGTCTGGTTGCGGGAGAGGTCAGTCTCATCCCGCAGCAGTAGTTTTCATACAATATACATTATTTATACGATTTATATAATTTATTTACACAATTTATTTACACAATTTGTACAATCTATTTATACAATTTGCGCCATTTATGTATACAATTAATTTATACAATTTTAGTGCAAAATAATGAGGTTGTGATAATGCTGGCAGAAGTATAAAAGCTATCCGGCCAGATGGTAGAAGACTTTTTTCACGGAGATCTTGTGAAAAAAAAATCTTTTTCATAAGGGATCTCTTTTCACTTCAATTCATTTGTAAGAATGATTACTAACAGTTTCCTTATGCTCATTATTGAGATATCGTTCACAAAAATTAACTCGTCACCGGATAGACAGGCTATTTTCTCACAAAGCTCCACCAAAGAATTTTAGGAATGATGATTGAGCGATTAAATAATTTTCAATACTTTCAGGGCTTCAATGAAGTGGAAGTAATTCAACTCCCTCAGCCAAACCCGCGAGGACTTACATACCTCGAGTCTTCAAGTCTATACACTGCCGGCCACAAAAGTTCAGACACTGGAAATCTTGATAATATTTTGAACATTTTCAAAAAATATAATCCAGGGACGAAAAGCGCTTCAAGAGAAAAAATTGGTACTTTTGGAGACCGCTTCATAACTAACCGTTTAGATACTCGTAAAAGTTTGAAGCCTAAGACCGAACATAGGAACGGACTATTTACTGCTGAAAATGTTGAAGGGAGAGACGCTGGAAATTTTATTGCCACTGCGGGAAAAATTGGAAACTCTCCGAACACTTTCAGCAACCTCGTTGGTTCTCAAGTAGGAAACGAAAACCAGGTTCACGTCGGAAAGGAAAATCGGGTTCAATTTGGAAGAAGTGCACGTAGCGTTATTAGATCAAATTTTAACAACTTCGGAGAAGTTCGTGTGATTAGTAACAGATTGAACGGAGATCCTGCATTTTCTGGAATGAGTGATCAATTTTTTGATGAGTCAGATTTTGGAAGTGGCGATTTCGGAAGTGGAAATTTTGAAAACTTAAAGACAGAAGGTTCCTCAGTTCCCTTTAGTTCTGTTCCTGCTTCTGGTTCTGCTCCTGCTTCTGGTTCTCTTCCGGCTTTTGGCTCTCCTCCGGCTTCTGGTTCTTCTCCGGCTTCTGGTTCTCTTCTGGCTTCTGGTTTTCCTCCGGCTTCTGGTTCGGTTCCTGATTCTGGTTCTGCTCCTGATTCTGGTTCTCCTCCGGCTTCTGGTTCTCTTCCTGCTTCTGGTTCTCCTCCGGCTTCTGGTTTTCCTCCGGCTTCTGGTTCTCTTCCGGCTTCTGGTTCACCTCCGGCTTCTGGTTCTCCTCTGGCTTCTGGTTCTCTTCCGGCTCCTGGTTCTTTCCTTTTAGGATCTTCTCCAATTTTGGGTAATAATTCGGTATCTGGAACAGTTTTACCTATCACATCTTTGCCAAATTTTGGCACCAGAAATCCGGTTGAACCTGGCATTGGTTCAAGATTCTATTTCTCTCGAACAAATGAGGAAAATTATAATCAGTTCCCGGAACGCTCAATCTCCAACTCAGGAGCTGGATTTATGGATAACGCATCGCTTTGGGGAAGCTATCCAGCATCTGAAGAAAGTGACTCCAATAGACCTTCAAAGTTGAAACCACTTGGCCAAATAGGTCAAGAACACGTATCACAGAACCCATCTTACATACTTGTGTCGTTTGACTATTCAATTTTAATGTATCAAGTCATGACGACTGGGATTGATGGAAAGAGACTCCTGAAAAAATTAGATCTATATGAGGTCGTTTGATCATCAGACCTGAAGATCGGTAGTCGAGTTGTGCAAGTAGATTAGTTGTTGATTTCATTAATATGTATTAAAATGTTTTTGGGTTTTCATCTTAAATTATTGAGATTTGTAAGATTGTTTTATTAACCTTTCCTATTACAATTAGGTTAGGTTTTATTAGCCTTTCCAAGTATTCCTCTCGACCCTTTTCCATTCTTTACAAGCAATTGCATGGCGTACCGACGATTTGCGAGAAAATTTTGAATTGACCTATTATGCTGGAAGAATCATATAATGCTTACCGTACGCAATGCGTATCAGCAATGTGAAAATTTGAAATACTCGGATCATGAACAAACTAACGCCATTATGTGATTTATTATTGCCTAACAGGATATACAGATTTCTGCAGCTCCGGACTATTTACTTTGATCCTGATTTCCGACGTTCGCCGTGGTGGAGCAGTCGCCGGTTACTTTTCTATTGCTTACGTTTTTCTGCAATTACTTTTTCTCCATCATCGCTGTATCAGTGTTGCATTGAACTTCTGTAGTGTGAGTATATAAACTTTTGCAATGTTTTCATTAGAATTTATGCTGTAATTTTGATGATTCAACTTGTATCATCATTCTGTGTCTGTTTATAAGTTTACAGACTAAGAAGTTCAAGTTGAGTCGCCAGAGGCTAGTTGAGATTACTGATGTAGCAGATCTGAAAGTTGAATGTAGCGCCCTGTTCTAACATTTTCTTTGTGTAATCAATATCAACTTGGGTCTCAGACTCTCAGTCTGCCCTCTTGAGTCCATAGTGACAAACCAGAGATTTTTTAGAATCATTTTAGTTCATATTAAACTTCCTCATCTACTCAAGATTTAATACAATTTCTTAAGTATGATAATTCTGATATTGGTTATACTTTACTGGTCTACTCATAGGATTCAAAAATGACCTTGAGAGAGTTTTCTGTCTTCAAGGTCTTGAACATGTTGGCAAACCAGGAATTTTCAAGAAATTGTTCATCTTTAGCCTAATTTCCTCATCTACTCAATATTTTTTATTAATTTCTTATATGCTGGTACTGGTATTTAAGATACTTACTAGTCTTCTCATACTTATAGGACTCAAAAATAAACTTGATGAAGGGCCACTATGCAGCTAGTATGGAATATATCTACTTGGCGAGCCGTTTGTACAGCAAGTGTCAACTGAACAAGTAATAAAGCAGTCTGACCGCTCTAATGCGACCAAAACTACGCAATCGAAAAAAATGTTGTTTACATTTTTTGCGGGAACTCATCGCAACTGATTTCTGGACAAGCTTCGCTGCATCGTAATCCATCCAACATACTGGAAACCTTACTTTTTTCTAAATAGTTGGCTGAAGACTGAGAAATATATTAAATGCAAGAATTTCAATCTAAATGTGTCGGCAAGATCTTCTGAAGGCGAAAATTTTGCCGATAATGCGTCGCCGTAGGTCTTTAAATCTTCGTTCACTCTCTGCACAGTGGATGAAGGGCAACAAAATAATATGCATTTAAAAATTTCTTATTAAAGAACACTTGTAAAGAGGCTGGTGTCTCTATGTTACACTTCTACAAGGAATTTCTTATTTCACTTTCAAATATTAGGAAAAATTATTTTTAAAATGTTTCTTTAATATTGAAATTTTTTCTTAATTTTTTAAAATTATTCATTCTGTCACTTGATTTGAGCATTGTCTCTAACTTTGCGCAAGTGTGCAAAATTTCAGATTGATTGGACAGGTAAAAGTGTGTTAAATAATGATTATAAGATTTGTTGGAGACAAACAAACAACAAGAAGTGAAGTTAAAGACTAAATAAAGAGAAGTATTATAATAATAAAAAGTTCTCCATGGTTCTCTCTTAACTCTTAATTACTCTTTGCTTTGCCACTATGCCTGCAGCCTCCTTCTAGGCTTCTTAGTTCTTACCACAGGATATAATCTTTGCCAATGCCATCCTAACTGGAAACTCTTCAGGAGGGTCTTCTGACAGGAACAGTTGTCTATAGTTGTCAGAAGTCTTATGCGATTTTACACTGCTATCCTAGGGGTTATTGTTCTTGAGCGCCTCACTGCTGTGCTTGCGGTGTCTGACTGCGGTGTTAAGTTATTATGTAGGTAGAATTCCTTTCATTTCCCTTCTGTGTCTCTCTTGTACAGGCAGCCAATGTCCTGTGTAAGCAACCTAATGTTTGAATATCTTAGTTTCTGTTGCTTTTTACATGTCACTCCACGTCACTTTGTCTCTTTGAGATGCTAACGCTGCTTCTCCTTTTACGCCTGCTTCTGCGGGCTGGACAATTTAGACCTTCTACCCTTGTGGTTGATAAACAATTTTTTTTATTTGAGAAACTTTCAATAATTGAAACCATCCAGCTTGTTGATATTTTTTTTTTCTTTTGGTTCATGTTAGCTAAATAGCTGAAGCACTGTAGTAAAGATGTAGCAACTACACTAAGCTTGTTTGGACACATTAAAGTATCATTCAATATGCACCACAATTTTCTTGTAATTCACAGCTGCAGTATAATCTACAGCAATCCCTTGATTAACGCAGTTAATAAATCCCCGAGTTTTACCGTGTTAAACAAAACCGCGCTAATCAAACTTAAGAATATATGGGAATAATTATAATGAATCCTCAAAAATAGCAAAGTTACATAATAATTTTTTTTTTCACTAAAATTCATCATATTTCCACTAAAATTCATCACTGAATTATGTTTCGAAAGTGAAAAAACAATCTGAATTACTTTTCAGATCATGAGCAGTCTTTGTGTTGTGTGTACTGACAGTAGCGGCGCGCCTACTCCATCGAACGTCATTCGAACGAGTTCACAACATGTGACGCTACCGTCACACTCGCGGCTAGACTTTAAAGAATTATTGGCTGAAATTCATAAAGTAACAACATTTGGCGAATTTTTCCAAAAGTCGTAACAAAAGTAACAACATAAGATCTAATAAGCAAAAAGTAACACTTTTGTTACGAACGTAACACCTCTGGCTAGAGGCGGGAAATTGATGCGTTGTGAAAAAAAAGCGCGCTAATCAAAACTGGCACCGCGTAGATTAAGGGTAGGTCGCAAATTTTTTTTCCGCGTTAATCAAAACCGCGGTATTCAAAACCGTGCTAATCAAGGGATCGCTGTATTCCATCTATTATGTAAATATTTTTTATATAGAAGAGCATTGAGTTATATTTAATGCCAAACTATGTGACATTGATGGTAGAAGTCTTAGTCTTTGTGCCTAATTCTAAGTGCTAAAAACTGTCAATGTTTGTATGTATGAATTTCAATAGCAATTTTTTTCATTTGTTCAGCAAAATAATATTAAAAATTATTTAGTAATATTTCATTTATCGACCCCAAGATATCATGGCTCCTAAGTCTAACCACCTTCTGCTGAAAGCTGCTAGAGGAGAAGAAGTTGACAAAGTTCCTGTCTGGGTGATGAGACAAGCTGGACGATATTTGCCAGGTGAGACATACTGAGGGCTTATTGTAATGCTTGGACACTTCAAACCAAAATTTTGTGCAAAACTATTTTATGAAAAATATTTCTTTTGATATCATGCTAATTGTATTTTTTGATCTGCATCAGTGATCACAAAATTTTTTTATGGACCTGCAATTAATGTTTTCTGTATTTCTCCAGAGTTTCGTGAAGAAAGAAGCAAATCAGATTTTTTCACCATCTGCCAGACACCTGAATTGGCTTGCAAAATTACCTTACAGCCTGTGGAGAGATTCCCCTTGGATGCTGCTATAATTTTTTCTGACATCCTGGTCATTCCTCAAGCTTTGGGCATGGAGGTGATCATGCAGCCTGGTGAGGTAAGAATGACAATTATTTTCAGGAGTGTAGTGTACGTAGATGTTGTATGCTATTAAAATGATCTGTTTTCCTATTACAATGATCTGTTTTTCTAAATTTGCATTACTTTTCAGAAGCTGATTTTACAATTTAGATTGTTGTACTTTCATTCATTTGGGATTTTTAGTAATTCTTTTCCTTGTTATATTATTAACCAAACTATTTTCAACCACCAAAAGACTAATTTTTTCACAAACAAACAATCTTCATATTCCTTTGAATATATATATTTATATTTAAAATACATATGACTTGCAAATACAGGTATATAAACAACTGAGATATATGAATTACTATCCTATATGTTGTTTCAACAGGGCCCAGTTTTCCCAAATCCCTTGAAGATTTCAGATGTTGCCAAGCTCTCAGAGGCGTCTGTAGTGCCTGATGTTCTTTCATACGTGTTTGATGCCATCAGACTCACGGTTGACAAGCTCAGTGGCCGGATACCTCTCATTGGCTTTGCTGGAGCACCAGTCAGTATTTTACCTTATTCAATTAACTGCCCCAATTGACTTTGGTAGTTGGCAAAATTAAGCAATGATGGATATTGATGTCACTTATGTCGATCTAGGGAAGAAATATTTTCCAAGTACAATGGTTGATAAGCTCAGTGGCCGGATACCTCTCATCGGCTTTGCTGGAGCACCAGTCAGTATTTAACCTTATCATATTAACTGCATTAAATAGACTTTGATAGTTGGCAACATTAAAGCAATGATTGTGTTATTGATGTCAATTATTTGGATTAGGTGGTGACATTGTTACCAAGTACGATGGTTGATAAGGTCAGTGGCCATATTCCTCTCATTGGCCATATACCTCTCATTAACTATCAATTGGCTTAGGTTCTTAGCATAACAATGAATTTCTACATATTTTTCAGACTACTTGTATAAGTAACGTGTTCCTTGTTCAGATAGTACCTAAACTAATTTTAACGAAATATGTACCTATATGGGAATAATAGATATTCAGAAGCACCTCTTTTTTGCAGTGGACACTAATGGCGTATATGGTGGAAGGCAAAGGCAGCAAAACATTCAGTGCTGCCAAGTCTTGGTTGTATAAACACCCTGTGTTGAGTCATCAGCTGTTGGAGCGTCTCACAGAATCCACCATCCTCTACCTTGTTGGACAGGTTCAAGCTGGTGCTCAGGTAAATATATAGTATAGTGTAGCGGTGCTGGCATGCTCAGGTAAATGTATAATATAGCGGTGTCAGCATCAATTAGTCCATTGACTCGGGTAAATATTTAGTATAGCAGTGTCAGCATCAATTAGTCCGTTAACTCGGGTAAATATATGGTATATTATAGCGGCGTCAGCATCTATTAGGCCGTTAACTCTGGTGCTCAGGTAAATATATAGCATATTATAGCGGTGACAGCATCTATTAGGCCGTCAACTCTGCCGCCGATTCTAAATATCACCGAGTATTCACAGCTTGTTCAGTCTCGAACACGGAACTCACTGCTCCAATTTTGTGTTGCATAGTTGCCCAGCCTCGCCGATTTGACCAGAGCTTCGGCATGTACAGTAGCTGGGATCGAACCTATAGCTCGCTGCCCCAAATCTGCTATTCTGAACTGTTACCACTGGGCCACCTTGCACTTCTCTTGTTTTAATGTGTAAATATATCATGTTTTTTAGTAACAAGAACTTATATTTTATCCAATTATATTGTGTTCAAAAGATAATGTAACATAGGGGGGCACAGTTCGGGCAACATTATAATTTTATAGATGGGATTTACATGGTCTTTGCCAGGTATATTTGTTGCATAGATTTAAATCAAGTTTAATCTCTTGCAGATCCTACAAGTGTTCGAGTCAAACGCTGAGTACCTCACACCGGATTTGTTCAGGACGTTTGCTCTACCTTATTTGCAGAAAATCTGTGATACCGTCAAGCAGAAATTGAAGGACATGGAGCTTCCCGTCGTGCCGATGGTACATGGAAAATGAGATAACATTTTCAGTTTCAGTTTTTTTATTCTTCAGTTTGAATTATTATAAGATAGTTACCATGTTATTATAAAAAATTGGATTGAATTATATTATAAAGCTGTTATTTTGCATAGTAAACTTGGTCATTTTCTATGGAACAACTGTATAGTTGTATGGATGTCATCATAACAGTGGCACAAACCATGGTTAAACTAGTAAAAAGTTGAGCAACGAGAAGCTCGTTTTCGCGGATAAAGTTCGTTCTTCGCCTGTGACGTCACTGATCTCAGTGACGTCACAGGCATTAACCAATCACTGAAATGCGATCAAACCAGTCAACCAATCCGTCATGAGAATGACGGGATTGTTTACGTTTTTTGATTTCAGTGGCATTGCAAGAAAGCTGAACTGAAAGACGGAAATGATCGTGAGCCAACCTTCTATAGTTCAACCATGGGCATAAACAAGTTCTGAACTAAGATATATTCTCATGCCCTTGTGTGAAATTTCAAACGACTATTTAGGTATTGTAATATTGCTGGATTTGTATACATTTATACTCCGATTGCAACTTAATATATTTTCACATTCTCTGGTGTAAAATTATATACATAATATTGGAAATGAATTGCTTCATTTTTATACATTTCCTCCCAGATTGTGTTTCCAAAGGGAGGTCACTTTGCGCTGTCTGCGCTGAGCAAGACAAACTATGACGTGATCGGCGTGGACTGGACCATAGAACCCAGCGTGGCTCGCAGCCTCGTGGGGCCTAACAAGACTTTGCAGGGGAACTTGGACCCCTGCGCCCTGTATGGGGACAAGGTGGGGCTTACAGGGCAGATTGGGACTTGATGTAAATTATGTGACCCGCAGCCTCGTGGGGCCTAACAAGACTTTGCAGAGGAACTTGGACCCTAGCGCTCTGTTTGGGGATAAGGTGAGGCATATAGGGCAGAGTGGGACTTGACGTTAAACATTCACTTTTGAAAATATTAAAAAGGAAAACGTGCTACTGTTGTTAATAGAATAGAATAGTCGGCGCTGAAGAAATAGGCCCATGGTCTGTTGCCGATTCTTGTACTTTTCGTGACGTGATTCCACAAGGGATCCGGCCTTTTGAACCCGATCTTTCCATAACTGCACTGCGATTGATTGAGATAGCTGCTGAACTTATTGCAAGGCCCTTATGGTGCTTGGCGCTTCAAGACAACATATGATATCAGTATCCTGCATGGATATTTTTTTTTATGGTAATTATGTGGATTTGGGTATGACATTTTGGATTAGGGTATGTGGACTAGGGTATGACAAAATTTTCCACGATCAACATCATTTATGAGAGGAAAGCGTGCCTAAAGGTGCCATTTTGAAGTCATTGTAAAGAATCAGCTATACTGAGGCTTGAAGGGTGGGAGATTTGAGAGTAGAGTGTGATTTGAGGTAAATTATCCACGTTTTAATTCATCAAAGAGAAGAAAACGTGCCAATGGTATTGCTGTGACTTATGTGGATTAGGGATATAATTTTTCCGAGCGTGACCATGATAAAAGCGCGCATAGGTAACGTGTAGTCTAATAATAATAATAAAGTGTAGCCTAATGCATATTCTGCACGCTCAAGAGCATTAAAAGAGTAGGCATTGTGCTTGTGTTATAGATGTCGCACATGTGATATCGGAAAATCTTTTCCCAAGCGTGAACATGACAAGGTAGAAGATTACGAGGTGAAGTGTAGCCTAATGTAAATTATCAATTGTGAATAAACTTTAAAAGGACAAAACGCACTATGATATGTCACTTGACTGCTTCTGGAATTAATCTTTCTCATAACACGAACTATTAGCTTCTGTCATATTACCCGTTTCACGTTCACTAAATGACTGCTAAGAGAAAACGGTCACTAACTTATATTCCAAACGGTCAATGACTTATCATTCTCAAACAGGCATCCATTGAAGAAGCGGTGCGCCGAATGCTGGAGGGGTTCGGACGGTCGCGCTACATTGCCAATCTCGGCCACGGCATCTACCCAGACGTCAACCCTGACAGCGTAGCAACCTTCGTAGACGCCGTACATCGCTTCTCCAGTCAACCAGCAACAATCTCCTAGCTTCCTCTATTCTTCCCACAATTGTTGATAATTGTTCATAATTGATAATTGACCCTCCCACAATTATCTTTTTCATTTAAAAAATGACAGAGTTAGAGAGGCTAGGTATGTTTTTCTCCGTTTAGTACAGCCAGCTATTTCCAGTTATTTGCTCTTTATTGTTCGAAACTTATTTTTTTAAGCGATATTTTTAATACGGGCCATTGGTATCATTGTTGTTCCAGATGTTATATAATACTCCTGCATTAAAAGTAAGTACTTGAGTTTATGTGCACGCGAAATTTTTGTGGCTTTAACGTAATTTTTTTCGACATTACCGCGGGTAGTGCGGTTTAATTATACGTAGCTGACTACAAGTATGTGGAATATAATCATATGTGGAACACCAAGAATTGTATAGATAGGTTAATTAATGCGGCATTGCAGCAATGCGAGATTAATTGTTAGCACCAGTTAACAAGATAGTTATTTCTTCAAATAAAAACAAATTCATAGCGAACCAAAATTTTTTGACGAAGTAACTTTAGTTCTGGGTATTCTTGTGATGACAAAAATGGGCCGGGTTTGTTCTGACAAGTATTGGACAAATGTAAATGATTTTGATAAAGCTGAACTAAAATGGTTAGTAATCACAAGTTTAACCATAGCGGCCGAAATATTAAATCGTATTAATGTTGAGTATTGTTAAATTATACGTATTAATTATTTTCTTCGAGGTGAATAAAACAAGTTATTGTTTTCAAATATATTTTCCTTTATTCAAGTTCTAAGTTGTTATAGCTATAACTGTTCTTATAAATTTATTCAAAATGCGTGAAATTAACAGTAGTTTAGTAATAGTTCCCGTATTGCTAAGGTTTGTACACGCATCATGAAATTTTTTTGAAAACTCATGAGTGAAACTGTCGATGATTGTCACAGTTCTCTTGCATTCAGTATTCTAGATGACGAAATGAAAATGTTGAGAAAATCATTATTGTTAAATTTGCTCGCTGACTTCACCAAATAAGGAAAAAAATCGTAATGGAATCGTTCCAATGAATTTTATGGAACTGGAGATTACACCTTTGACCATACTACCGGGCATTGTGGCAATTGTTATTTTATCCACTTGTATCATAACCTCAATCCGTTGAAACTTTTCGAATTTACTCGGTATCAAATAATAGTATCGTCTCTGAAACTTGTACATTTTATAATTGAATGAATTCCGCCTATGGAATACATTTTTTCGTTCTTCATTACTTTCATTGAAGGCATGTTTCCGTCCTATATGTTACTGCCATGTTCTTGCCCACGAGCGTCGCTTTGCACTATTTGCAAAATTGATTCGCACAATTCGAGTGATTCTGACCTAAATTACATTCGGGTAGTACAAATAATTCCAGTTGTACCTGTTACACAGTTTGCATGATAACTTTGCGTTGGGCGTCGTGAATGTAGTTGTTAGACCGGAAGATGGCGCTCTCAAAGAACGGTTGCAGGTTGTGGATGTTGATTTGCCGGGCCTGCAAAGAAATACGTTGGCATTTATAGAAATTGCGAAGAAATGTCAACAGATTTGCATACGCGCAACAAAATACGTACTTTTCTGGAGATGAAGAGGATACAAATAATTCCTGTAGCTAAGACCGCCTTTGTTTTTTAAATACAACTAAGTTTTGAAAATTCTACTTGTGATCTTCATTCTGACAGAACTACATGTGATTATTGCCGTAACAGTTCATTGACATATGCAGCAAGAGACTGCATAACACACCCTCTACTCACCATATTCAGTATTTTCCACCCTTTTCAGTATTTTTCCCTACCACGAGCACACTTGTCTCATTGAGGCGGGTCAGCGAGCCAGTGATGGTTCTGGCGAGTCAGCGAGCCAGTGATGGTCGTACAACTACCAGTGGCATTAAGAGCCCGGAAAAACTGACCTATCACCCCCTCCTTTACCTAGTTGCCACTACAGGGATGGGCAATTACAACTACAACATCACACACCCTCTACTCACCTTATCGAGCATTGGACAGGCGAGTACACACTGACACTATATTTTCACCCTATTGAGTATTGTACACCCTACACAGGGGAAGCACACACCCTATTGAGCATTGAACACCCTAAACAGGGGCACACACACCCCATACTTACCCTATCAAGTAGCTCCTTTTCAGTGACGGTAGCAGGTTCGTGATCAACACTCCCGTATCTGCTACGTAGATACGCGGTTTGTTCGTGCAGCAATTGTCGCAGAAGGAAAATCAAGAGTTCATTATTGTCCTTCTTGAAAGATAGATACCGAGCAAAGTTTTTCTTCATGGTTCTCATCACGGAGAATTTCTGAGTGTCAATGAAGCTCTCGAGCATGACGCGAATAGCCATATTTACGTCATCATCTGTAACATATTCTCTGATGTGCATACGTGCATGCGCTTCAGCCATGCGTATCATTGATTCAATGTGACGTACAGTGATGGGGATCGATCCGGTAGCCATACTTTCACGTCGTAACTCGGAGTACATTTTAGCCACCTTATCTTTGTCCATTTGGTGTAATTTCGGGTGGACTTTTTCGCGCGAGTATACTAGGTATTTACGAAGCATTTCTTGAGGGATTTGTTCAACCCCAGCCAGTCCTGTGCCAGAGTCTGGTAGAGTGATGGCCTCTCCAGGGCCGCCAGCTGCTCAAAATATCCATTTGCAAAATTTTACTGAAGAGTTTCAAATAACTTATAATTATCTACGTTATGGCAGAACAGGTAGCAGTTGATTTTTCCAACAGTCGTATACAGAAACTAACTACCGGTAACTAAATGCATAAATATAACGGTTTCCAAACCAAAAATTCAAGGAATTTCTATAAAAAGCTGTGCAAATAAGATTCTACATGCACATCAACTTTCATTTGTCAATGAAGAACAATATTATCTTCGTTAAAAAAACTTATAAAATGCTCATATTTGTTGGTTATAGACGGTGATTCACGGAAACTTCAGAATTTGAAAGCTCAATGTAAAAAAGCTAGTAAAGATATCATTACAATATAAATTTCATTGAAGAATACATTACATGAATTTTTGTATCACCTAATTGTAAAGATGACATCGGACAAATAACGGCTCCCATTTTCAATGCATTTAGTTACTAAATTTTTACGTTCTGTTCAACTCACTGAAGCGCCTATATTGATGGGTATGTAGGAGATGGCTTGACGTATGTTCTTCTCCAAATGAGGTAAGATTCTTGGATAGTCATTACAACAATTGATTCAAGATAGCACAATAAAAAATCACATGAAGCCAAATCGGGGGATCGGGCCGGCCAAAGAAGGTCATCTCTCAAGGAGATGTGGCTAATACCCATCCATATGCTTCAGCCAGTTAAACGGAACTTCAAAAATAGACCAACTTAATGCATTGAAAATGGAGGCCGTCATTAATTCCATATGTCATCGTTAAAACAAAGTGATACAAAAATTCAGGCAATGCCTTTTACAATGAAATTTATATAGTAACGATATCTTTACTAGTTCTTTTCTTATTGAGCTTTCAAATCAGGATGTTTCCGTGAATCACCTTAAATATCCCTGAGAAAATATATCACTACTACAAAAAATCAACAGGCATATCAATAGTATAAGTAAACACGCACCAGCAGAAGGATGATGTTTCATATGCGACGCCACCACAAATCTGGCAAGATGATCATCAACGACGGGATCAACGGTGTCTCTGACGACACACAGCACATCAAAACGCGACAGGATGGGTTCCGTGAGGTCAACGTTCTCGGCGAACGTGAGGGAAGGATCGTAACGGCCTCCTATAGGGTTAGCGGCCGCGATGATAGCGCATCTCGCTTGCAGTGACGTCACAATTCCGGCTTTGCTGATGCTGATGCTCTGCTGCTCCATCGCTTCGTGAATACTCGTACGGTCAGACTCGTTCATCTGGAACACGGGTGGATCATTCAGATAGGGGTTACACCGCAGAACATATGTCACGGTCAGACTCGTTCACCTGGAACACTGGTCTATTTTTTTTTTTTTTTGAATTGAGGTTAAACCGTAAAACATATGTCATGTAAGACTTGTCCATCTGGAACAAGGGTGGATTTATCAAATCGAGTTTAAACCGTAACATAGGCCATGATCGTTTGGTCAGACTCGTTCATCTGGGGGCAATGGTGGATTTTTCAGGTTGAGGTGGTTAAACCTCTGGGGGATAGGTGGATTTACCAGATTGAGGTTAAACCGTAAAGCATATGTCATGTCCCAGTGCCTAAGTTTTACTTTCTACTTTACACACAAACACGAGAATTATGTCTTTACTATAACAAATGATAACAAATAAAGATGATTTTCTTCTGATCAAGGATCAACAAACTAGATTTTGCCTAATAACGGTAGTACATAACAAGTCTTTAATCTTACTATATGAAGAGTGTAACTTTGAACCGTGCGTTCAGAACAAGAGATTCACTATTTCTTGTATACAAAAATAAGTGCTCGGTTTCCAGGACATTGAAATAATCAGTATTTTGGGAGAGTCCTTAATTTATCAATTAAATAAGAAACACATAAATAGAGTTTACTTCATCATGAAGCAAAGAGCAGATTAAGAGTTCTCACTCTATCACAAAGTAAAGAGCACATAAAAACTCTCACTTTATCGAACTCATCTATGAGACAGACGCCCTTGTCAGCCAGCACCAGCGCTCCAGCCTCCAGCGTCCACTCCCGTGTCACCGGCGACTTCTGCACATATGCAGTCAAGCCCACCGCACTTGCCCCTGAAATTATTAATTAAAAATATCATAACACATTTTAATTGTAGTTAAATTTTTCAATTTGAGAATGTTAACGCTATTTCAAAATTATATCTTTGGTAAAATATTATGGGAAATGATATTTAATATTGTCATACACTGCAATTCCTGACGATTATGCAATATGAGAATGCTTTCTTTGCTAAATATTAGTGGTAATAGCGATAATCTAGCATGCTTTAAAAGGAAAATAAATAAAACTCTTAGATACAAATAGATACATAAATACAAGATACTTATAGCACTATAATTATTACAGCAATGAGTGTTCAAAAATTTTATAATATAATGAAAATAATCTAGCATACCTTTGAAGGAAAATAAACAAACCTCTTAGATACAAATAGATAATTTGATACAAAATACTTATAGCACTATAAGTATTACGGTAATGAATGAAAATTTTATAATATACACGGTAATGAAAACAATCTAGCATTTCTTTGAAGGAAAATAAATAAAAACTCTTAGATACAAATAGATAATTTGATACAAAATACTTTATTTAAGTACTATAAGTATTACGGTAATGAATGAAAATTTTATAATATGCACGGAATTGAAAACAATCTAGCATGTCTTTGAAAGGAAAATAAACAAATCTCATAGATACAAATAGATACTTAAATACAAGACACTTATAGCACTACAATTATTACTGTAACGAATAAAAATAATCTAGCATGCCTTTGAAGGAAAATAAACAAAACACTCAGATGCAAGACACTTATTGCACTATAATAATTAATATAATGAATGGTAATTCACCTTGACCCGTGGTAAATATAGCGCGAGGTGCGATCTTCTCAACGTATTTCAGGAACTGAGACTTGGCAGTGCCAGGGTCACCGCAGGCGAGCACGTTGATGTCTCCCCTCACTTTATGTTTCTGCCCAGGGTTCTTGGCCTCCCCTCCAAACAGGGACAAGGCAATGGCTCTTTTGATGTCCTCGTGGCCGTAGATCGAGGGCGCTATGGAGGCTACGATGCGTTCCGCAATGCGTTCATCTTTACTCAAGGCGACGATTGCCTTGATGTCTTCATCAGTCAGGGCTGGGGACAAAAATTTTAGTTAAAACTTACGGGAAATTCAAGTGACTGGCTAATCAAAGTAAGAAAAGGGAATCCTTTTTTAAAGTTTAGAGCGACGGTGGCTTTGATGTCTTTGTCAGTTAGGGCTGGGGATGAAAATTTTTAGTTAAAAATTGCGAGAAATTCAAGCGACTGGGTCATTAAAGTAAGAAAAGAGAGAATTTTTTCTGAAAGTTTAGAGCGACGGTCGCTTCGATGTTTTCGTCAGTCAGAGCTGTGGGTGATTAGTTATACATTCAAACTAGAGAGAAATTCAAATTTATACTACAAGCGGCTGGGTCATAAATTAGAACAGGGAATTTTTCAAGCAAAAAATAATACAATTGAATAATTACACAAAAAACTGGATACGTGCGGGACACAATAAACTAAAAATACGTGCTTCAAATGATGAATCAAATACTTATGAACTTAACAAGAATGCTTCACCTGTTAAGCTCAATTAATTGCGCAGCAATACCATAAAACAGGGTGGCTTGGACCATTTTTAGCACTTTTTTGTTCTACAAATAGTCATATGTTATACATAAAATATATTTTTATTGCATTTGTCGGTTATCTCAACGTCCTTCGAGAGCCATAAACACAATTTTTAAGGCAAGAACTTTTTTAGTATAGGGATTTCTAGCACAAATGTCAAAACGGTCCAAGTCACCCCGTCAATAGTCCAATGCACCCAGTTTTACGGTAGCCTGTCACTGATACGGTGTGTAACTATGGCATTGGTATGGCATATTTCAAATACCTTTGATGGCATATGGCTAATACCTTTGAAGGCGTATGGCAAATACCTTAAATAGCATATGATATGGCTAGTGCCTTTGATAGCATAAGGCCTTCAAGAGCATATGATATGGCAATTACCTTTGATGGCATATGGCAAGTACCTTTGATTGCGAATAGCAAATACCTTTAATGGCATATGGCAAGTACCTTTGATGTATATGGCAAGTACCTTTAATGGCATATGACAAATCCCTTTGATAGTGTAAGGCAAGTACCTTTAATGGCACATGGCAAGTGCCTTTGATAGCATATGGCATGTACCTTTAATGGCATATAACAAGTACCTTTAATGGCATATAACAAATACCTTTGATGGCATTGGCGTTGTCCTTCTTAAGAATGTGATTAGCCATGATGACAGTGGCGAAGACCGGGAAGCCCTGGCTGGTATTGAGGGAGGTGTCGTAGTTGTTGGTGTACACGCCTGTCACTTCGATCTCGTCGCCAGGCTTGATCTGGTTGCACAGATCTCCCAGCAAGATCACGTCCTTTGAACGTGGCAACCTGCCTGCTGATATCTGAGGAGAAAAATTCATTTAAGCCAATTGTGAAAATATTTCTAATATGCCTGCAGATATCTGAAGGGAAAATGATGACTGCAATGTAATTGAAATTAATTCTAATATGCCTGCTGATATCTGAGGAGAAAAATTCATTTAAGGCAATTGTGAAAATATTTCTCATATGCCTGCAGATATCTGAGGAAAAAATATTAAACTTGACGAGTGCAATGTAGTCGAAATGAAATATTTCTAATATGCCTGCAGATATCTGAGGTGAAAAATTTCATTTAGGGCAATGTAGTTGAAATGAAATATTTCTAATATGCCTGCAGATATCTGAGGAGAAAATCTTGATGAGTGCAATCACTGCAATGTAATCGAAATGAAATATTTCTAATATGCCTGCTGTTATCTGAGGAAAAAAATTTCAATGACGGCAATGTAATCGCAATGAAATATTTCTAATAATTTATTTATTGAAGTTTGATCATTTAGAATTGTATTCATAAATGGAGTATAAAGGCGATACGATTAAGAGTTGGTCATGAGTTTCAAGTTCAAAATATTTCAGATTGCAATGAACAGTACGGTAGCAGTGTCTGTAGTAGCGGGTTTCCGGGCACTTTTGAAAAAAATAATCCATTACATTTTTGATGAATTTTCGTTTGGCTAACATTAGAAAACTATTCAAATCATTTACTACAATGATACACGAAAAATTTCATGGGGAGAAAAAAAACTTGATTTCATTTGATATCAAAAATAAAACTATGACTACTATTTCAAACCTCAAATGAAACTTTGTATATCATTTCATACCACAAATGAAGCCCGATGAATAAATTTTCTTAATAACTTCCCAATCTTGGGGCTTAAAATTTCAGATTACAGAAACCCACAGCAGAAAAATTAGGGTTATTAGAATAATTTTTTAAACTTAAATTTGGGGTCAATGCAAAATAGCCCCAACGTTCTGAAATGATGTAGCATTAGATCATTTAGTCTACCTTGAAATGAAGTAGCCTACCTAGCCTTGATGATTTAGTCTACCTTGAATGATGTAGCCAACTTTGCCTTGATGACTTAGTCTACCATGGAATGATGTAGCCTAGCTTGCCTTGATGACTTAGTCTACCTTGAAATGATGTAGCCTGCCTTGCCTTGATGATTTAGTCCACCTTGAAATGATGTAGCCTGCCTTGCCTTAAAGATTTAGTCTACTTTGAAATGATGTAGACTACCTTGCCTTGAAGATTTAGTCTACCTTGAAATGATATAGCCTACCTTGCCTTGATGATTTAGTCTACCTAAAAACGATGTAGCCTACCTACCCTTGATGATTTGGTCAACCTTGCCTTGATGATTTGATCTACCTTGCCTTGATGACTTTAGTCTACCTTGAAATGATGTAGCCTACCTTGCCTTGATTGATTTAGTCTACCTTGAAATGATGTAGCCTACCTCTTGATTATTTTGTCTACCTTGAAATGATGTAGCCTACCTTGCCTTCATTGATTTAGTCTACCTTGAAATGATGTAGCCTACCTTGCCTTGATTATTTTGTCTACCTTGAAATGATGTAGCCTACCTTGCCAGGACTCTCTTGAATGGTGATACGCTGGTAGTTCTGGTAGACAGTCTGTTCCATGTTGATGGTGAAGGGTCCTTTGCTCTGGCACTCTGGACAAGACCCAGGCTTCACCTCGGTGGTCTGGTTCTGCACAAAAGGCCCCAGCACGTAGGAGCATTTGTCGCAGTCATACTTGATGATGCTCAGCTGAGGCAGGATGCCTGTGGTTGAAGTTACCACTCCGGAGGTGCGGATGAGCTGGTTCAGGTGCAGTTGTCTGCAAAAAAAGAATAGAAAATGATTCCTGTAAAAAATTTGGGCTCTTTGGTTATAAGATATAATACATAGCTGTGCCTGTTTAAAAACTTTTCATAACTTTCCAAAGTTTTTGTATTTAATTTTCATATTTTAATTTCTTCATAATGTTTAGTAGCACATGTGAAAATTTAATTTAAAGTGAAGATTACTCTATAAAGTGCAGTTAAGGCAAACATTCAACCTGTGATGTGAAATATTGAGGGTTATGAGACATTATTTCCAAAACCCACCAAAAAACAACATATTACAGAAATGGCAAAAACAAAAGCAAATATAATATTGAACGCATCTAAGATATAGCAGCACCTGCAACTGGGTCCCAGAACAAAGAGTATTTATTATAATTAACCTTTGCTGACGGTGTTAATTAAATCCAAAAACATCATAACAAAATAACCATCTTGTATTAATCCTGCAACAACCTAAGAAATCGCAGCACACTGACGAGTCAATCAAACTAAACAACATTAGTTATAAAAAAAACTATATAAAATAATCCTGCTGATGAACAGGGAACATAATTACACAATACCCACTAAAGAAAAACAGCATAAAACGATCATGCCGATACAACCAGTCAACATTATCACAAAATACTCACTTAAAATAATCCTGATGACTAAACCATGCAACATTATTACAAAATACCCACTTTAAAAAATCCTGCTGATTAAACAATGCAATAATATTACAAAATAGCCACTTAAAATAATCCTGCTGACTAAACAAGGCAACACTATTACAAAATATCCACTGAAAATGATCCTGCTGATTAAACAATGCAACATTATTACAAAATATCCACTGAAAATGATCCTGCTGATTAAACAAGGCAACATTATTACAAAATAGCCACTTAAAATAATCCTGCTGACTAAACAGTGCAACATTATTACAAAATAGCCACATAAAATAATCCAGCAGTTACCGGAGAGATCGCAGCTCTTCAATGAGCGGCAGGTCAGAGATGCGCACGTGGATGTCTTTGGTTATGCGCTCGTACTGAGGGAACATAGACAGCGTCACGTCTTTGGCAGCCGCGTCAAAGATCTCCAGCATCTCAGTGGGCGCTTCAGGGAGGAAATACGCAAGCACCTGCTCCTCAGAGGCCAGGATGTTGTAGTCAACCTCAAATGATGACTTGTTTTCTGCGAGGAGAAATCATTTTTACATTTTTGTAGGCAACCATTTTAGCAGTTTTCCTCTCGTAAGTTTGAAAAAGAATTAGCAATCTAACCTAAATAAATTTGCCGGAAATAACATCACCAGCATATTTATTCCTAAATCGCAACATTTGAACAGCACCTAATGATAATTACCCACAGACAACAATTGTTACATGTAAATAAAATCTGTACAATCAGTATTATTCCAGACTAAGTATACTTAGCAGTACAATATCGGTATAGTAACATATATATAACCGTTAGTTCTGCAATATATATATGAATTAAATGAAAACCCCAACACTAATTTGTTATCGAATAGTACAAATTTTATACAAATATATGCATGATGTTCAATTATATACATGGTATATTCAATCATATACATGTTTAATTATATACACGATGTTCGATTATATACATGATGTTTAATTATATACATGATATATTTAATCATATACTCGATGTTCAATAATATACTCGATGTTCACATATATACATGTATTCCAACGTACCATAACACATGGCCCTGATCTTGTCTTTATACAAGTTCTCTCCACGCTTGTCACTGACAAAAGTTCTGAGGAAGTTCTTGAAGCGATTGTAGATCTCAGTGCGCGGCCCCAGCAGCGTCACCCACTCACGCACGCTGTGTCCTTTCAGGTCCTCAAGGTTTTCAATGCTCTCTATCATCTGCAGATTGGATAGCAGAAACAATAACGTCAACAAAATAAAAAAATATACATGTTACTTATATTTCGGAAACCGCGACAATTTCATCCATCTCATTTTATTTATTTTCAATCTGCCACATTATATGCATGATAAAAATCATTTACTATTACCAGCATTTCCAGTACACTAAGGAAATATCTCAACAAAGTGGTCCTTCTTATCTATTGACTATTAAGCTCAGCCAAAAATTGCTCTCATCAACCAAAAATTTACATCGGCTGATATGAGGAAAAAATAGGAATCATTTACCACTTAATCCTGCTGAATAAACAATGCAACATTATAACAAAACGGCCACTTAAAATAATCCTGCTGAATAAACAATGCAACATTATAAAAAAGATCAATTTCCCCAATTTACTACTACTAAATACAAATAAAAACTGATACAAACAAAAGATGTGTGGTCAACACTCAAGTTCATTAAAAAATTTTGTGTTCAACGTATTATTAAAAGACTATACCTCTTCATCCTGCCCAGCATCTCCCTCAGCAGCACGCTCAGCAAGACGTCTCTTGCGTGCTGGCCTGCCATCTTCTTCATCCGAACTTTCGTCCTCTGAAAAATAATATACAATTAATTAAATGCTGATTGTAATATGTATTCAACATCCATCTCGTAGAAATTTATCATCACTGCAGATTCCTTCCACCATTTCTTTTTAAAATGGATCAAAATGACGAGTAAATATACTTCCAAATTTTGAGAATCTTTGAAGTTCTCAAGTGAGTCAAATAATGTAAGAGCATGCAAAAAAAGAGCAAATATTTCAGGACTATATTGATAATTTATTAATACACTTGTGACCAATTTAACTTGAATTGACAACAATGTTGCATTCATCAACAATTAGGAGCACCTAATTGCAAAATTTATTAGAATTTATAATTATTCATACATCACTCATAACGCATCCACATTTTGTAAAGCTCCACTGTTTCCTTATGTTGTGGGAACCTTCTTAAATTTTCAAGTGTGGTAGCAAGAATACCATCAGACTCCATCCGATCAACTGGTCAATAATAATTTTTTGTATCTCAAATATTAGCATTAATTTAATTTTGTTCAGTAGAGTTTTGAAACCTACTGATCAACTCCAGATTCAGTAGCTAGAAATAGCATACAGTACTTATTATGAGCACTCACCATACATCAGCCCGCATCTCATGCAGCCAGCCCACTCACTATACTGCAGCCCACTCACCATACAGCAGCGCACTCACCATACAGCAGCCAACTCACTATAGGTACTGCAGCCCACTCACCATACAACAGCACACTTACCATACAGCAGCACACTTACCATACAGCAGCCCAGTCACCATACAGCAGCCCACACACCATACAGCATCCCACTCACCATACAGCAGCCCACTCACCATACAGCAGCCCACTCACCATACAGCAATCCACTCACCATACAGCAGCACACTCACCATACAGCAGCACTCACCATACAGCAGCACTCACCATACAGCAGCACTCACCATACAGCAGCACTCACCATACAGCAGCACTCACCATACAGCAGCACTCACCATACAGCAGCACTCACCATACAGCAGCACTCACCATACAGCAGCACTCACCATACAGCAGCACTCACCATACAGCAGCACTCACCATACAGCAGCACTCACCATACAGCAGCACTCACCATACAGCAGCACTCACCATACAGCAGCACTCACCATACAGCAGCACTCACCATAAAGCAGCACTCACCATACAGCAGCACTCACCATAAAGCAGCACTCACCATACAGCAGCACTCACCATAAAGCAGCACTCACCATACAGCAGCACTCACCATAAAGCAGCACTCACCATACAGCAGCACTCACCATAAAGCAGCACTCACCATACAACAGCCCACTCACCATACAGCAGCCCACGCCTCATGCGGCCCAGTCCACGTCCCTCCTCCTGGTCTCGCCGTCTGAGTTCAGCCTCAGCGTTACGTCTGGCCTCAGGGTCAAGCTCGGACAAGCTGCTGTTGTCGTCTAGTTGGTCCGCATCATACTGGTCCAGCTCAGGAATATGACGGTAGTCACTGAAGAATAAACGTTATTTAACGAATGTTGAGTTAATCTATTAACTAAACAATGTACTCATACTGGTCCAGCTCAGGAATATGACGGTAGTCACTGAAGAATAAACGTTATTTAACAAATGTTGAGTTAATCTATTAACTAAACAATGTACTCATACTGGTCCAGCTCAGGAATATGACGGTAGTCACTGAGGAATAAACGTTCTTTAAAGAATGTTTAGTTAATCTATTAACTAAACAATGTACTCATACTGGTCCAGCGCAGGAATATGATGGTAGTCACTGAGGAATAAACGTTCTTTAAAGAATGTTGAGTTAATCTATTAACTAAACAATGTACTCATACTGGTCCAGCTCAGGAATATGACGGTAGTCACTGAAGAATAAACGTTATTTAACAAATGTTGAGTTAATCTAATCAACTAAAGTTACTAAACAATGTACTATCTTGATTCATCCTATGATTACACTATTAATACCATATAGTTTATGGCCTACATAGTAGGTTAGTTTGAAAAAGCTAGCAACAATTTTACATACAGCCATATTAAAGTTAAAATCAACATTTTTTGTCAGACTTAAATAGCTTAAATCCTTTCATAAGAATTGCTAGATAATCTTTTTGATTTGTATAATTCTATCATAACTGTTTTATTCAATAATTACTCCACATTTTTTTATTTAAAATACAGTAAAATAGCAACCACTGACACCATACAGATTTGAAGATCCAACATATGAGCACTTCCAGTAACCTTCAGATATTGAACACCTTTTTTATGAAATTGGAGTTTCCCTTCAAGTTTCATCACAAGGGTGACAAGGCATATATAGTGCAAAAAATAGATTTTTACAAAACATATTTTGAGAAACTTTGTAAACCCTACAAGTATATACACTAGTAAGGAGTATAGTGTACACCATCATTATAATAAAAATAAATAACGCTTTTCCTGTAGCTTTATTTATTTGTATTTCAAGGATTAGTTTGATAGGATTCATAAAATTTGCTTAGGAAGGACAAATAAAATTTGGAAATGACTAATGGAATGGCACAGCAAAAAGCACCACTGCTGCTAGGGCAAACATACGTACTTTTCCATGTTGTCTCCGAAGAGTTCCTCTCCATCTTCCTCCTCCTCATCTTGAACAGCCCCAACACCTCCCACCAGCTCACTCTCATCCTCGAAGGGAGGCAGGTCATGCCCAGGAGGAGAGGTGGTGGGGTCAACGCGATACCGTCGGGGAGTGGCGGTAGGGGTCGTGGGGGTTGGGGTTACGGCAGCTCCAGGGGTTGTAGCAACTGGAGAAGTTGCCATTCCTGAAGGAGAACTTGCTCGTTCCTGTAAATATAAAATTCATTGAAACCATAGAATTGTCAGCTGTCTCAGCATTTGATTTGGGAAGAATACTATCATGACCAAAAATCATATGTTGAACCAGAAGTAGAATTTAAAATTTAAATAACAAGAGTCTCGTATATAAATCAAAAACATCAAAAACAACTTTATTTCATAATGGAAATTTTAAAATACCTAGAATGCTGTAAGCAAAGAAAGTAAGAAACCTTTTAAAAAGTCTACAATTTGTCTATTACCTAGTTAGCAAGATCATAGGCTAAATCCTTCAATGACAGTTGTTGTCCAACTTTCCAAGAACTTCAGTTTAAACTACCTAGTTATCCAACCAAGATTAAATCTTTGAAAAGTGTTAGGTACATATTAAGAATACCTATATGAAATCTTTCAAATAATTAACCACTATTTTGTTACCTATAGGTACATTTTCAGAGCACAACAAATGATTTAACACAATTTCAACAAAATAACTTTTTTTAAAGATGCAAATCAGGGCGTGAATCCACTTGAACATCGTTCATTGCACACAACAAATGATACAATTGTTCATGTTTGTACGACATTATTATCCCATATTTCTTACTAGGCTAGGCTAGCTACCTAGGTAAAAAATAAAATACCTAAACGGAAGTTCGGAACATTAAGGGCAGCAATTATGGAAAATCACCAGTGAAGCGATCTTTTTTTCCCACGAATCGATTGCTACAAGTTATGTGGTGATCTAAACCTACAAACTAGGTATAGTGAATATTTCTCACGATGAATCAAGTCAGTCTGTCAGTGCAATATCAAATACCTAACTATATTCCTGCTCGACCTGTTGAGTGGCGGCTCCTCAGTCATCGGCAATAAAATTGAAGCGAAACTTTATTGGCAAAGCAAACTATAAGTTCAAATAGAAAATAAAAGACTTACCGACATATTCCACCTGCTCAAAAGTTTGTGGATAAAGTAGAAAGTTTAGATAAAAAATTCACTAAAATAGAGCAACGCAACGCTTCAACACGCTCTCGAGATTCAGCTGGGGCGACTTTGGCGGGAAACTACAATAGTATGACGATGCGGATGAACATTACACAAGTCTATGTCAGGTCGTTACCAAAATATGAGCTGTCTCTAATTGCTATAATTAAACTGCTATACAAACCTAAAATACATGTGCTGGTTTTGATTTGAAGGAGAATTTTTAAAATTTTGTCTCTCTAACCCAGGAGTATTTGTTTCGAGATACAAATAATGTTCACTTCTATTTTTTTTTTAATTTGATTTTAAGACTTCGGGTGTGAAACAGTCACACCTCCCAGCCTGAGCACAACTTGATTTTTCTTGAAAACTCCAACTCAACTGCCTCTTCACTTCACTTTGAATCTTTCCTCATGCTCTCACAAAGGGGTTTTTGTGTGGAAGAAAATAACAAAGGAATTAGGCACTGATAATTTTCATCGGGTGTTCATCATGCTGCATTTTAGCAGGTATTGTCCCAGGCGATGAATGACTGCAGTTCTCCTTTTTTGGGGAATATCACCCCCTCCCAGAGCTGTGATGAGGTTCCAAGGAAGTAAAAGGTTCTCCAGATTTGAGCGAAACTCCCTCCTCTGATTGATGTATAGCGAACAGTGCAAAATGAAATGCTCAATTGTGTCTTCTGTGTTGCATGTGGGGCAGATGCCGGAATTGACCAAATTGAAGCGGGCCAAGTGGGCTTTCACACCAGCATGACCAAGCCGCAGACGAGCCACAGCACATTCAACTGAGCGAGGTAGCGGTCCATAGTCCACATAATTTACTGTCTCTCCCAAGCCCAGTCTGAAGGTTCCCTTCCCTGAAGACTGCACTTCCTCTGACCACCAGAGTGACCAATATTTCAAGAATTTGTTCTTTAACAGACAGAGCCACTCCTCAAAGCACAAACTGGATCTGGCAGAGCGATCATTTGCATGTGCGAGGTTTGCTATTCTGTCAGCCACTTCATTCCCACGAATGTTGCTATGGCCACGGACCCAACACATCATCACTCTGTCGAGCCCCTTGATTTGCATCAGTTTATGAATTTGAGCAATGATTGAGCAATAGGAGCAAACTGACAGTGAAGAAAGAATTTGCAGTGCTGCTCGTGAGTCAGTCAGGATCAGAATTGGTTTATCCTTCAGAGATTCATCAGTGATGGCAAGCTGCATGGCTTTGAGTATAGCAAATAATTCAGCACCCAGTATGGTGTGCACTGGATTCAGCAGCCACCCAGTAGCCAGGTTGGTAGATGGCAGGTAAAGACCTGCGGACACTGATCCAGTAGCAGAACGTGATCCATCAGTGTAGATCTGCACATGCTGAGGATAGTTCTGCTTCCAAAAGTCTTGAAAACAATTTTCAGTGATTTCACGAGGCATTGAATTGACATCAGAGCTCAGCAGGTCCAGACAGATGCTGGAAGAGTTCACTTCTATGAGGAGCTTATCTGTAACAGATTAATGGATGTTTCATTGTTTTTTAATCATAGTGTCATACACAATTTGGCCATACAAGCTTGCACCATAATATTCGTCGTGTCTTGATTTTAACTGTGAGAATATGATAATGTAATTCATTGAACTACATAAGATGATGTCTATGTTGTTCAAATAAGCAAATTGGAGCTCCATGCCTGCCACATTATTTAGTTAATTTTGCAGCCAAATAATTTAGCTCCATAAAGTAATTGAGACTGTATTTAGCACTTAGTAAACAACTAAAAATGTTTGCGATGGCTCTTAAAAAGGTCAACAACAACAGGTGTTTTGATGATGTGCAAATTACGGTGTCAGCTTTGATTAGGACATATTGGTTTGTCACCTATTCTTAACTAGTCAGCCATTTTGCCAATTTGCGTCTGCATTTTTACATCTAGTTGCAAGTTTTGAACCCTCAATTCATTGCATCTGCGCCAGGAGTGGTTGCTGATCTCAATCACTCGTCGTCCAAAGCATTAGCTGTCGATTCGGGCTCGAGATGCCATAAAGTGTCGATTTGTGACGTGTAATTTAAAATGTTTCTCTAGAATTCAATCTAATGAGAAAACATCAACGTGGTCACAACTCATAATTTGTTTAACCGAAAACAGGTTCGTTTACAGTCGACTTATATATCTAGAGGAAATTATATTGAATTTTAAATCAGCTTCAAAAAACACGAAAATTCAATTCCTGTACTTCAGTGGCCACCAATCTTTTTTTCTTCTTCGATCAATACTCGGCATAATTTGAATCAATATGGAACAAAACTCATTAAAGAACAACGGTCAGTAGTCCTGTGGCTACTCCTGTCCCTGCTCCACAACAATAATAAAAATAATAATAGCGGTTACAGCGTTTATTAGGCCGTAGGCCTGTCGCCGATTCTCAACATCGCAGAACATTCACAGCTTGTTGCGGTCTCTAACTCGCAACTCACTGCTACAATTCTGCTGTGCTTAACCGCCCGGCCTCCTCGCCGATTCTGACCAGAAACTGACGCACAGAGCTGGGATCGCACCCGCGCCTCTCTGCGCCAATCTTGGTACTCTGAACTGTAACCACTGGGCCACCAAGCCTGGGCCACAAGTTAAAGCAACTCACAATATCAACGGAAGGAATTCATTTTTTACAATAATCTAGCGCCACAAGGTAAAGAAAACAAGACATAAGAAAATAAACCATTTATAATACCAAAATAAATTAACAGGAACAACGTGCAGTACAAAAAATACAATAAACGACCAACAAGAACAACATAAAGACAAACAATAGACGTCAAAGTGCATAAAAAAAAGTTTTTTTTTTTCCATGCCGGGTTATATTGTTGAACAAATTTCTAGTCATTAACTTCATACTCGTGCAAACCTCAAGCAAACCAAGAAGTAAACATTTAAAAATTATTAGATAAATAATTAAATTTCCAAGTACCAAGGCCTATATGTAATATATTCCAAACTAAACAAAACTGCCTAAAGTTTAATTTCCAATCAATTTTAATCAAATTTCAGAATTATAAATGCCAATACAAATAATATTTCAAAAACTGAATAACAATAATTTTCTTAAAATTTCAACATTTGATGTTTTTAGATACAAATTCTTGACAATTGTTTCTCAAAAGAGATAAATCGTTCGGTATAATTCAGAAAATTTCATTTCATGCATAATCATTACTAATAAATTACAATTTCTTAGGCTTAATCAATTAGGCTTAAATATGCAAATATAAAAAAAAATTAACAAAGAACTTCCTTAAACTAAACAACAAATTAATAAGAATAGGAATAATTTTTCAGTATTTTAAATACCAAAATATCTTATTTTACTTGCCTCTCACTACTGGCCATTGAACGAAATAATTAGAGAACAAAAATGCGGAACCTTGAAAGTGATAATAATAATATAAATATTAAGTACTTAATCGCAAGTGCCGACGATGAGAGAAACTTATCATTTATTAATAAAAGCATAAAAAATTAGGTTCAATGTGACGGTTATATGAATAATATGTGAAAAAATATCAGTGAAAAGAATTGCAGAATTCAACAGATTGCATAATTTGCTTTCAAGTTTCCTCTTATTAAGAGCAAAAGGCAGTAGAATAAAGGTCCGAAATACCAATAGAGTTACTAAGCTAACATACAACTAATAAGTACGTCGATCGTAATTACGACTGGCATAGTGCCTTACGAAAAAATATAATACGAGATTCGGCTTTCAACTGGAAAATTTCCCATTGGGGACAACTGGTAAACGTCCCCATTAGGGAAAACTGGCAACTTGACCCATTAGAGACAACTGGCGACCTTTTCCATTAGAAACAACTGGCAACCTGCCTCATTAGGGACAAGCGGCCAACTTTCCCGTGAAGGACAACTGGCAAACTTCCCATTAGAAACAACTCTATTCGAAACAACTTGTAAACTTCCCATTAGGGACAACTGGCAAAGTTAGCCATTATAAATCACTGAAAATTTCTTCAACAGTCAAATTTCTTCAGCAAGAAGGCAGGATCAATTGACGAACATGTAAAAAAGTACAAAAGATGACGCTTGCAAAAGGCGATCTGCCTTAAGAAACTACAACAACAACAATCTTTTCAAGGCGACCTGCCTTGAGAAACTACAACAACAACAATCTTTTCAAGGCGACCTGCCTTGAGAAACTACAACAAGAACAACAACCTTTAATCGACCTGCCTTGAGAAACTATAACAACAACCTTTAGGCGATCTGACCTTAAGACGCTACAACAACAATCTTAAAGCGATCTGCCATAGGAAACTACAAAAACAACAATCTTAAGGCAATCTGCCTTAAGATTTATGACAAATTACAAGCTCTTATCAAAAGTTAAGGCTAAGGCGAGGGTATATAAGGAGGGGCGCAGCGTGGGCAGCTTCAGTGATGAACCACCAGAGCGCGGAGGATGTTACTCAGCGCTGATCGTGCTTCCGTAGGAGGCAGCAACTGCACGCAAAAATCAAATTAAATAAGATATTTAAATTTAAACTATGCAACGAACAAAATAAATGAAAAATTTAAATTATGAAAGGCATTTGTAACGAACAAAATAAATGAAATATTTAAATTATGTAGGGTATTTGAAAAGAACGAAATACATTAAATATTTAAATTACGTAAGGTATTTGTAAAGAACGAAATAAATGAAATATTTAAATTACGCAAGGTATTTGTATAGAACAAAATAAATGAAATATTTAAATTACGCAAGGTATTTGTATAGAACGAAATAAATGAAATATTTAAATTACGCAAGGTATTTGTAAAGAAACACGCGTGTGTTGGTATTGTGGTCTCATAGTCATCAATAAGATAAAAAATATGGTCAAATAACATTATTTCTTATTTTAATCTTATTTTGATTAAAATAATGATATATTAATCAAGTGATATAATATATCCTTTGAAGTTTAGGAAGAAAAAATCAAATGTTAATCTTGTGGACTCACAGTCATCAATACGATAAGATAAAAAATATAGTTAAATAAAATTATTTCTTCTTTTAATTAAGTGATATGATAAATCCTTTGAAGTTTAGGAAGAAAAAATCAAATGTTAATCTTGTGGTCTCACAGTCATCAATAAAATAAATAATATAGCTAAATAATATTATTTCTTATTGTAATCAAGTGCTATAATAAATCCTTTGAAGTTCAGGAAGAAAAAATCAAACGTTAATCTTGTCATCAATACGATAAAAATATAGTTAAATAAAATTATTTCTTATTCTTATATGATAAATCCTTTTATCTTATATGATAAATCCTTATATATATGATAAATCCTTTTATATATGATAAATCCTTTTATAAAAATCAAAATGGCGCCCACCTGTAGCAGACGTAGGGACTCCTGGCAGTGCTCCTGCACCACCTGCCGTGCCATCTGCACGCCTGCACCAGCTGCTGTCACCTCCTGCACCACCATCTGCAACATCAAGTTAATTATATTAGTTTACTTAATTAATTTATTTATTTACATCTGCAACATCACCATCAACCTAATTAAATCAGTTTAATCAATTAATTGAACATTATCAAGTTAATTAAATTAGTTTACTTAATTAATTTATTTATTTACATCTGCAACATCACCATCAACCTAATTAAATCAGTTTAATCAATTAATTGAACATTATCAAGTTAATTAAATTAGTTTACTTAATTAATTAATTAATTTATTTAATAATTAAACATCAACATTAACCTAATTAAATTAGCTTAATTAATTAATTAAACATTATCATCAAGTTAATTTAATTAGTTTAAATAGTTAATTAGTTAATTAATTGATTAAACATCACCAAAAAGTTAATTAAATTAGTTAATTAATTAAACATAAGCACATAACCATAAAGTTAATTAAATAAGTTCGATTTATTAATTAAAAATCACAATCAAGTAAATAAACTTACTTTAATTAATTAAACATCACCATAAAGTTAATTAAATTAGCTTAATTGATTAATTAAACATCACCATCAAGTTAATTAAATTAAATTAAATTAATTACAAGTTAATTAATCTTGATTGATTATACGTTGGTTAAACAGATTAACAAACAAGTAGAAGGCAAAGCACCGAATGGATATATAAATTTATAAAATTAATGTAGTGTGGGAACAAACAAATGTGGCATCTTCAAAAAATTATACAAAATTAGCATAATGTTTATCAATTTTTGGAATAAATTTTATATTCTCCCAGAAAGTTTATAAGCGCGTGTAGGCACTTCTATTAATTTAAATATTCTAGAATAATATAACAGGCAGCACCCACACCTCATGATGACAGTCCTTTTTGACCTTTTTTCGGCCAAATTCAGGCTTTTATCTAAATTAGTTCTCCACTAAAAATATATGTTTAAGTTAAACTCAATGTCATTTTCCATGGCTAAAAATTCTGAAAATTAAATTTATTCACCGCTAATTAATAATTGACTAATAAATTGGCCTTTTCTGAGCCAATTTGGCCGTTTATCTTGCCATAATAAGGAATTTAAAAATTATAAGTTAAGTATTCCATAATTCGGCAACCCTGGTCAGTGTGCCTGCGGCACTCACTTTAATTTATGCACCGCTAATAAAAAATTTACTAATAAATATTGAATAGAAAGGCCTTTTTCTGAGCCAATTTGGCCGTTTCTCTTGCGATAAAAAAGAATTTAAAAAAATCATACGTTGATTAAGTACGCCGTAATTTGGTAGCCCTGGACCAATACTTTCAAAAAAGTCAAGAGATCGTAAGTTCGTCAGCCAATCATCGACGGCCTTTCAAGCAAAATCCACCAATCATAGATAAGAAAATACAACGTAAGTATTTACGTTCACTTAGCGAGTTTTGAAAGTATGACCCCTGTTCAGTGTGCCAGCGGCACTCACCGCGTCAACATCTCCGCCGTCGCCGCTCTGTCGTCGCACGGCCTCGACGAACGCCTCTAGACCCGCAGGGTCTACCTCACGAAGATGTTGTACGTGGGCCACTACAGGCAGGGACGTCAGGTCTATTCGTGACGTAGCTTGTGTTCGTGAAGACGTCTTTCTAGGCTCAGAAGTAATCCCTCTAGAAGCCGAACGTTTTTCGCTAGGGGTAAAGTAGCTGGAATCGAGATGCCCGTCATGTTTGTTGAAAGAGACTTCAGGTTTTCCATCAACTGATGACTTAGGTTTGAAATCCGGTATTTCATTCACAGTGAAATTTCCAAGAGAATTTTCAGGGTAACTAGAGTTAATTTGAGGGCAAATGTACTTAGTTTTCATTGAGTAACTTTGCTTAGAGAGGAAAGGTGCGAGTTCTAAGCTGCCTTGCCACGCAAGTCCTGTTTGATGGCCGATGGAATATACGAGGTCCAGCGTAGCTAAGTCTGAATGTCCTGCTAGCAACAGGGCGCTCTTACAGGACTTGGCGAGCAGTGAACCTGTAATGAAATATACATTATACAGAGTATACATGATACAAAATATATATGATGAAAGCATGCATGATACAATGTATGCATTATAAAAAGTGTACGTAATACAGGGTATACGTAATATAAAGCATAGATGATAGAAAGTATACATGATATGAAGTATACACGATATGAAGTATACATGATACAAAGTGTACGTACATTATACAAAGTTTGGTTAAAAATTATGCCAGTTTTTTTAAGAACTTCTTTTGAGTTTAATTTCACGAGCTTTCTGATAAAAGGCATCAGAAAGCATAAGACATGATACAGAGTATACATGATATGAAGTATACACGATACAAAGTATACCGTACATGATACAGAGTATAGATGATACAAAGTAAACATGAGACAGAGTATACATGATAAAAGTATATGTGATACAAAGTATACATGATAAAAAGTATACATGATACCGAGTATACATGATACAAAGTATATGTACATGATAAGAAGAAGTATTCGTTGATTTAAATTATCGGAGAGTCGGAAAATTCTTTTGATCTACCTACGTCATCTGAATGATTGTCCGACTCTCTGATAATTTAAATCAACGAATTCTCTAGTCACTAATCGCACGCGCTTAAATCAGTAAATTCTGCCATCTAAAACAAATGATACAAAGTATACATGATACAAAGTATAGATGATACAAGGTATAGATGATACAAGGTATAGATCATACAAAGTATAGATGATACAAAGTAAAGATGATACAAAGTAAAGATGATACAAAGTAAAGATGATACAAAGTAAAGATGATACAAAGTAAAGATGATACAAAGTATAGATGATACAAAGTAAAGATGATACAAAGTAAAGATGATACAAAGTAAAGATGATACAAAGTAAAGATAATACAAAGTAAAGATGATACAAAGTATAGATGATACAAAGTAAAGATGATATAAAGTATACGTGATATAAAGTATACGCAATACAAAGTATACGCAAATTGGTATGGTATGTTTACTTAGGTAAATATGATAGTGGATATTAAAATTAAATGCCGGGACAAAGCATGACACAAACGATACGTGACAATGCATTTTTTTCAATTTAACAATGTGAAACATTATACCAAAAATATAATTTTTTTCAAATTATATCGAAGTGGCAGAAGCAATAAAAATTATTAGAGTAACGGGCTTTGGAACAAGTGATGGAATAATTCAAGAAAATTTAATTAATGCACAGGTCTTCATGGTCTCAAAAATCTGTTTTATGTTGTAAAGGCGTTATGATGATCAAACCAATAGATGGGAATGTTCTAAAAAATGAAAATAATGACAAATTTCGAAAATTAATGAGCAATTGAAGTAAGATTCGACCGTTCAATTATCTTAAATTTACTCTCATTCCAAAAATACTAGTTGCTTGGGCAACCATATCATACTTTCAAGGAACTTGTTCCCAATATTATAACATAACATAACATAACATATTGATCTCGGCGCTGAAGTGTAGGCCTGATGTGGCCTGTCTTTTTGTCGGATCTTTTCATGACTGACGATAGTTTGAAGAAGCTACTAGACTTCCACCGGGTTCGATAAGGAGCTAGGCATTTCAAATCTGAACATATATTTTTCCATAGCTTTATCTAGTCTGTTCTTGAACGCGTTCATACTTGGAGCGCAAACGATGTCATCGGGGAGGCTGTTCCACATGTCGGTGATTCGAAGCGAGAAGAAATTTTGTCGCGTGGAGAAGTTGCACCGCAGTTTTTATACATTAATTATCATTAACTATCATTAGACTCGCGACAGGCAGCACACAGTGACACTCTTAATGCTTCATAATAGGTAATTATTGACGAATTAATAGGAAAATTAATTAAATTTGACATCCGTGCCTTTTTACCTTTTATACCCATAACTACACAGCCTACCAACATTAAATCAACATAAGCAGAAAAATGATTAACACATTATTAAAATATTCTTGACCTTCCTTTTAACCGAGTGTCAATAATTAATTAATAAAACAAAATAAGATAGAATAATAATATTATAATAAATAATAATAACAACAATAGCAATGAGAATCACCGACCAACGGCATAATGATATTATAATAATGTTAATAATAATATAAATAATAATATCATTAAATAATAACAGCAATGATAATCCCCCACCGACGGCATAATAATATTAGTATTAATAAAAATAATAATAATATTATTTAATAATAACAGCAATAAGAATCACCAACCGACGGCATAACAATAATATTAATGTTATAGGTAAATAATAATAGCAATAAGAATCACCCACCAACGGCATAATAATATTAATAATAATACCGGTATTAATAATGTTATTAAATAATCATATTAAATAATAATAGCAATAAGAATCCCCAACCAACGGCATAATAATATAATAATGATTTTCATAATAATATAAATAATAATCATATTAAATAATAACAGCGATAAGAATCCCCACCGACGGCATAATAATATTATAATAACATTAATAATAATATTAAACAATAAGAGGAATAAGAGTCCCCCACCAACAGCAAGGGATGTCTTAGTGCGCCAGAAGGCGAGGTCAGCGTCAGTACCTCATGAGTGTGCAAAATTATTAAACAATAACAGCAATAAGAATCACCCAACCCACGACGTCATAATAATCATAATAATATAAATAATAATAATAATAATGTCAAATAATAACATTAATATGAAGCACGGACCAACAGCAAGGGAGGTCTTAGTGCGCCAGAAGGCGAGGTCAGCGGCAGGGTGCAGCACAGGCCGGCCGAGGTCATCTCGCTCGCCTAGGAACTCTGATGTCGTGAAGTCTGATATAGCCGAGCTCACGAGCTCTACTACCTGCAAACATTGATATAGCTTTGATATATACATATATTAATATGTATTAAAGCTATATACATTATTATAGCTTCAATATATACATATGTTAATATGTATTAGAGCTATATACATTGATATACGGTAGCCTCGATATATAATAATATCTATTAAAGCTATAATATACATTGATATAGCTTCCATATATTAATTATGATGGAAATAAGTGAGAATTGTGAATGAACTTGTACCCTGGCATAAATGAGATATCAACGTAGGTTTTCTTGAAGATAAATTTAACCATAAACTAAATATTAAAAGATTTCTAATTTAATTTCTTGGAATTGGGTTATTTATCGTTGACTGTGATTTGAAACCAAAGATAACTCATAATAAATTGTCTCTAAGTGGCTCAATCTTCAGAATTAGGTAGAAAGTAGATCAGAGGAATGCAAAAAATATATAATTATTTCATTCATACTCGAATATATAAATATATTTGAGTATGAGCTGGACTTGTAAATAATTCTACATTACATTATGACTTTGATTCAGATATACATAGAACTTCCATGATGCCACAATACTTTATATTCCATTGGGTTTCAACTACAATGTCAGTTACAGAGCATATTACTTAAAAACTGCATAGTACTTGATACAATTTCTGCTCTTGTAATATTGATTTATACATCAAGTTGTCTACTTAGTACAATTTAGTTATACATTCTAAGTAATCTCATGAAATCAAATCAATATGTATACCGGTACATAACTTTGAGTCGTGAAATTTCATACCTACCAGTTAAATTTGGAAACGGTATAGAATTTAACCATAACATCCACTCACAAGATGTTGCATAGAAATAATCAAGTTATCACATAAAATAATCAAGTAATTACATAAAATATTAAATTAATTACATAAAATATTCAAGTTATTACATAAAATAATCAAGTTATTAAAAATAATCAAGTTATCACATAAAATAATCAAGTTATTACATAAAATAATCAAGTTATTAAACAAAATAATATATTATTATATATAATAATATATTATTACATAAACTAATCCAGTTATTACACAACATAACATATTATTACGTATAATAATATATTATTACATATAATAATCAATTATTACATAAACTAATCAAGTTATTACAGAAAATAATCACCTGAGAGTTATGAAGCACAGCCAGAGCTTTATAATAATATATTATTAAATATATTAATATATTATTACTATTACACAAAATAATCACCTGAGAGTTATGAAGCACAGCCAGAGCTTTACAAGCATTAGCCAGGAGGTAGTCTCCACACAAGATAGCCAGCTTGTTGCCCAGCTGGTAATCTGAGCCATCAGCTGAGCTGGATGAGGAAGATGGTGAAGTAGATTCTTCAGCAGATGGATCAGCAGCCGTGGTGTGGATGTTGACAACGCCTTTGTGGATCAGTTCAGCTGTGTGGATCATTTCGGTGATCTCAGCTAAACTCCTCTGACTGCAAGATTTATAGACATTAATTGACAAATATTTAGTCAAAAACTTTTGAGCAGATTTTAAATATTCAATGACTGACACTGAAACTTGAAAACTTCAATTCATTTTTTATGTCTTGAGAAATGAAGATGAAAATCATTTTTTCCTTTTAAGTAAAACAAAGTTTATTATCTTTGTTAAATTTATATTTAACTATTTTAATTATATTCAAGTTTATTATTCCACAGAGATTTTAGACAGCATCATTTCACCTAACATAAAAAATATAACTCAGTACTCACTGCAGTGAGTGACAGAGAGCGCATTTTCTCAAAATCGACGAAAACGTGAGTCACGAACAGACGGACAGACGGACATGACGAACACAGTAAGGCATTTCTTCCATAAATGAGAAAATGTGCTAAAAATGGACAAATATAATATAATGCAATTAGAGCAAAAAATTATTCGTGCAAACAAATAAACAATAAAAATGTACCTGTGAATGAGCCCAGCAGCCAATTCTTGGGGCAATGTTTTGGCGGCGGCAGACTCGGCCAGACCAGCGGCCTTGCTGACCAGCAGCACGAGCAGACCTCGGGTCTGCAGGGCTGACTGAGGTCCTTCCAGTACCAGCTGTCTGTATGTGAACAAGTACCAGCTGTACTACAAGTACAAACAAGTACAGACAAGTACCAGCTGTCTGTAGGTAAACAAGTACCAGTTGTCTGTAGGTAAAAAATTACTATCCTAATCAAGTACCAGCTGTCTGTGTGTAAACAAGTACCAGCTGTCTGTAGGTAAACAAATACCAGCTGTCTGTAGGTAAATAAGTACCAGCTGTCTGTAGGTAAACAATTAACATCCTAATCAAGTACCAGCTGTCTGTACATAAACAGGTACCATCCTATCAAGTATCAGCTGTCTGTACATAAAAAAGTACCATCCTAATCAAGCACACCAGCTGTCTGTATGTAAACAAGTACCTACCATCCCAATCACTCAGTAAACAAAAGAAGCATCAGCCACAAAAAAAAAAAAAAAAAGGAATTGACTTTTTGGATATACATAAATTTCACAATAGATTGATGACCTTATTTGTGAGGTAACAAAGGACTTATAGCAAAGAAAATGAAACTTAACTGTATTTTTTATGAAATCGTTTTGCAGACTATATAAATCTATAAAAGAAATTCATTTACAAAAAAGTAGAATTTTATTACATATATTGTATAGAAGAGCTGTACAGTTTGGCTGTCAATTTTCAGATTATGTCTTTAAAAATTACAGCTATTTGCATGTATATATATCTATATATAATATAGACTCAATTTAGTCTATGTTAAACTATTACTTGGCTGTATCCACAAGAGGATGCGTAGTGGCAATGAGTTTCCTGAGATGTGTGGCAATGTTACTCATCTCATCGGAAAGCAGGGAGCGCAGGGTTAAATATGAAGTCGGGTACCCCACTAACTTTTCTGCAGCACTCACAGCATGTTGCCATTCTGCAGGAGAACTACAAAACAGAAATAAAATTTAATTTTTATCATACTTTCTTGTTTGCAAGCAATAGCTCAATGAAATACCTATTTATTTTCACAAAAATAATTTCAAATCAATATTTTACTCCTGCTAGACCAGTCTCAGTCACACTCAACTCACAAGTATTACAGACATAACTAGTACCGTAGTTGTTTATAAATCAACTATTAGATTGCTACATCTATGACAATTTTTGATAATTAAACTATGACATATTTCAATAATTTTCAGAAAATTCAGCCAAAGTTCTAAATAAATCAAAAACATATCCATAAAATCTGGAGAAGAAACATTCTAGAGAATATTTTAAGTATCTAGATTCATTTAAGTATCAGTGAAAAACTTCAATCAAGAGTATAGGTATTTATCAATACCAGAACAGGAACAAATTTACAAGAGATTATTTTGCCCATTCATCTGGCTGGCTAGGTTTCAATCTTTACCATTTGAATTTGTTCACGTTATTGATAATAATTGTTTTCTTGGAGTTTTGGACTGATTATAGTGCTAATTTATAAATTTCTATAAATATATTGTGGATTTACTTGGCTTTTTTTGCCTTCATATTCCTAATACATAGAATTCTTCTAATCAGGCCTCAGGTTGCATTAAGCATTACCTTAAATTCCGTTGCTGGTAAAACGTTGAAAACAAATCAACATTTGCTAAGTAATTTTGAAATTTTGAACATCCTCCTGGAAATGCACCTAGCAGAGAAATTTGACTCAAACTTTTAAGGATCGGTGACACAAGTGCCATTTTGGAAACAAAAAATTTAATCTGAAAATAAAAATTAGATTAATACATGTAGGTGTTAACCCTTTTGTCCGACATACATTTACGTACCTACTGATGTCAATGTTAATTGTACTTAGTGGTTTTGAACCAAGAAGTTTGGGACCATCAGTCAAGAAAGGGTTAATACACCTGGAAATCCCTAAGTAATCCCCTAAATTGTTCACCGGGCAACATAGAATGAAAAGTAATTAACCTAAAATATGATTCATTTCTTGAAAAATAGTATGATGGTTGTCACTAAAATATTCTTTTTTTTTTTGGTATGTTTGTTACAATATTTTCTTGTTATGGTATATTAGCTTGACCCAACTAAAATGGAGCAAAATTACAAGCCCAGTCCTGTAAGCTTACACTTTACAGATACAGAAGAAATGCTACATGGCTGCTGATATGATGCTTTCAGTACACAAGGTCATTTTTAAATGCTCAATGGCATCATATTGGCATGTCAATGGATATGGTAAATTATCACATAAATAATACGGTAATGAATAGATATGGTAATATATCATATTATCAATAAAGAAAAAACAAGTAAAAATCACAGAAAAGGTCATTTTTTCTACATCTACATCATCTATAAAGATATAGGAGGACTTCAGAGTAAGGTTAGTAATGGATGAGTGAGAACACTCTGCATGCTTCAAACATTTATAAAATTAAATTTTTATTTCAAGTGTGCCTTATTGCCCCATTCATAGGGGTAATTTGGGAGGCTTTTTTATTACCTCTGGCACCTCACAAATAGCATATGGAATTTTTCAACAGTTATCATGCAATAGCCCTTGCAAAAACCTCTAAAATGAGCCTAAACTTGCTTATGAAATGTTTCAGTTTCATGATAAGAAGATATTTAAAAAAATGCTCAAAAGTGACAAAACTGTCCCTTATTGGTTGACAGTAGATAGGTACTGAATACAATTCTGAAGTAGAACATAAAATTAAAAATATGAACTGTTTTTTAAAAATTTTTAATTTGCCAGTTGCCACTATGTGCCAAACTTTCCAGTCTCAAATTCTCAACCCCTGGACTCATCAACTTATCAAGAGCCTCATCAGAAATACTAGCCTAGACTGCCTAGTTACATCACCAGTTGCAAACTTGCAGTTTGATTCCACCCTTTCTCTTTGGAATTGCTTGGCACTGCTCTTTTCTCTGGAGAGACACTTATCATTGTTATAATTGTTTATTGTTGCCACTTGCAAATATGGAGCTATACAAAAAAATCTATAAAATATAATTGAACTGAAGAAACATCAACAATAACAAATGGAATCCTACTCTTACGTTACTATTTAAATATCCACCCCATGAACCTACAGCTGACCGAACTACTATACCAAAATACTCACTACGTAGTTCTAGCAGATCATACACATACAACCGTGAAGTTTCAAGCGAACCGTCGTCCAGACGTCCACCGTAGCTCAAACCATTTCATAACTTTCAGAAATCGGAATACTTGTTTGTTTGTTTGTTTGATGCTTATTGGAGCTTTGGAGACGCATCCATGTAGCTCCACGTCTGCAGGGGGATTTGGCTGTTCCAGAAGTCCCAGTATCCCACGATTGCACAGGAATTTAGTCCGTGCAGAAGTCCCAGCAACTGTGTGCACATGAAAAATATCATTAGTATACAGGATCATAACATTGTATCAATTGATCAACTAGAGCTCACATAATTGGGGTGTAAATTTCAGTATCATGTTCAGGGAAATAATTTGCTGAAGGCAGATTATGGTACAAATGTGTTTCAAAATAAAGTGACATTTATTTGTTAAGAATTGATAGCAATTTGCTCTTCTAAAACAAAGGACTACATTAATAGCGCTAAGCTAAATTGCCCAAGTTATTAGCTAGAGGATGCCCTACCTTGTGCCACATACGAGAACCCAGACTCTAGGTGAGGGTCCAGCCTGGGCGGCTCAACCTGGAGCCTCTTTCAGCCAAAAATGACTGTCACAAAATAATTTTTAATGCAAATGTGCAAACAAGACGGATCTCTTATGGGCAGGGCTCAGAAGGAGGCAAGGGAATATTTGTTTATCTGGTGGAGACAAATAGAGGCACCCTTCACACAGGCAGTCATCACAGTATTCAATTGATCTGCTCAGAGAAACCT